ATACTTATTTGAAAAATTCGTATTGGAGTACTTGAATGGATAGCATTATCATAAAAAATTAATATTGGAAAGTTTACAAGTTGCAACACAAAATTGCTTTGCTTCATCTCACCTTCATTCTATCACTTTCCGAAAAGGGAACAAGGATAGAGGAATTTTTTTCTAGATGAATTGTGAAAAAGAAGTCAAATTGAACTTCTTGAAAAAAGTCCAACTTTTTCCAATTTATTTTTGTTGAAAATTAAGGATGATAGGTTATTGCCACGAGAAAAGGTAGGCAAAAAAGAGATTGTATGAAGTACTGAATTTAAAGACGAGAGGAAAGAATTGTAACATTTGTTTGTTTTTGTTTTGTTTTGTTTTGTTTTGTTATACCCGTAATTTATTAATTGCTTTAATAAGTCCTTTTTCCAGCAGCTGTTTCGAGTGAATGACATTTTTTAACACTGTTTATAAGAAACATTTAACAAGCGAATTTTCATTGCAGGCGCTGAGTCCAAACAACCAAAATAGCCTCTTTCAGCAACAGGAACAAGATCCAACAAATTTGTACTTAGCAAACTTGCCACCGAATTATACAGAAAGAGATTTGCAAAAGTTATTGGAAAGTTATGGTTCAACAATCAGTACAAGAGTATTAAAGAATGGTGATGGTTCGAGTAGATGTGTTGGGTTCGCACGGATGGATAATGAAGAGTTGTGCGCAAAAATTATCAAAGTAAATTTATCTCAAAACAATTGAAATTTTCTTCAACTTCTACTAGATTTTTTTCCTGCAAATTTCACACTTGATATTTGTTTTTTATAGGAAATGAATGGAAAAAAAATAATTCCGGGTTGCAATTTACCATTAATGGTAAAATATGCTGATAGTAATAAGAAAACAAAAAGTCGACCATTACAAAGTGTTCCAGGATTGTATAGTAGCCTTACACATCTCGAGATTACAGTAAGTTTTAATTTGTTTTTTGTTTTTGTTTATTAACAGTTTTTTTTTTGCGAAGGATTAATTTTTCATCATTTCAGCAACCATGTTTTGCAACACCACCATATGACCAAAGCGGGCAGTATATCCGCACCAATCCAAACTATCAATACCTATTAACACCACCATCGCCTTACGTTTACAGTGCACATCCTCAATATCATGTTTTCTCAGGTAAATTCATTACGAAATCTCTTTGCAGGATGATCTTGGAAATCATGTGTTATAATATGTGAATAATTTATACCGCAAAAAATGTACGACTTTTTTATCTGGCGAAAAAAGAAAGTGTTTAAAGTTGTTGTAATATATAAAAGATTAATTGAACAAATTAAAAGGGAAAAATGGAAATGATACAAATTGTCAAGAGTGATTTAAATCATATCTACCAAACGAAATGCATTTAAGTATTATAAGAATTTTTGATAATTTTTTTGTTTGAAATTACAGGTTATGGAGATGCTCCATTTGGGAACCTTGCTGCTCAAATGCAAAATTTATCACTTCAAGGTGCTAATGCGATGTTGCATCCATCAGCCGAATTGACAAATATTGGACCGGGTACAAGTATAACAGCGAATCAAACACCAGCTGGTACAGCAATTCCTCAGGTTGCTATGCAAACTTATACAGTTCCACTCTATCCATGGCCATATGGTGTCCAGGTTAGTTAGTTTGTTTGTTTGTCTGTCTCATTTTTCATTTTTCTTTTGCATAATATTAATATTATTATTTAGAAATGGAAGATAACGTAGTGATCGAATAAACTGTGGATCTGATTTTATTCTAATCTCATCATTTTATAAACTGCTCCTACAATATAACGATTAAAATGGATTACGGATTAACACATTATCTCGCAATAAAAAAAAGAAAAAAAACGTATGCAGAAATATAAATCTCCCGGCAATTTCGTATTTAAATTCACGAATGATTGATAAGATAACATTCCGTTTAATACTGCAGTGTGCACGATCGCTTAATTATCATCCAAAGAAGTTTTGTTTCGAAATTTAAACGTCACCTGTTACTTCGATGTCACACATCAGGAACTTTAGTTGGTAAGCAAAACGATAGCTGCAGAACTTTTTTCTTTTTTTCTCACCATACCACGAATTACTAACACATATTTTTTAACATGTTAGATATTAAAATTTTCAGAAATTTGTCGAAAAAAGATAGCGAAAAAAAGATCCTTTTATTTATTTACAGGCAACAACTGATCCGAATATGATTGGTGCAGTGGTAACATCAGCGACACCGTTGCAAAATTTTGTACCAGAATTAGCTGCTATGCATACAGATGCTGCATCCGCTGCTGCTGCTACTGTTGCTGCTGCCGGTGCTATTGGTAGTAGTAGTAGTAGTGGTGGTGGTGGTGGTGGTATTGCGGTATCAACAAATCAAGCATCATCTGGTCAAATTATCTACGCCACTCAGTCACTACCACCACCACAACCACCACCATCACCCTAACAATCACCATCACCACCCTAACAACCACCACCACCATCTCACAAATGCAGCAAAATTAAGCAGAAAGAGAGAAAAAAATGCCTTTAGGAATGTTTGCTTTGTTTTTTAACCATATCTCAGACAAATTTGTTGTAACTGTTGAATGAGAATGGGAGATAACGAAGAATGTAAAAGATTTAAGAGAAACATTTACAACCTAAAAAATGAATGCCTGTTTTTCTCCTTTTTTTCTTAATTTGGTTCATAAATTTCGTTGTTTGTTTGCTTCTCCCCAATTTTAAGTGTTTATTAGCTTTTTTTACTGGTATTATATTTTTGCAAAATGTTTCAGTGTTCAGTCTTCAAAAGAAAACTGTGAATTTGTCTCACTATCAATTGGGCCAATTTTAATTAATTGAACTTTGTAAATTATAATATCTTCTGAGATAGGGAAGAGTTGTTTTAATTTACAAAATTAAGGTGGGGAAGAGCCAGTTTGTCAGCAAAATTACATGTAATATTTCAAAAAAAATGCATGTGCTAAAATAAAATTTACATATTTTTTAAAATTTCTCAAAAGAGAAAACAGTTTTTTCTTGCAGTATAAATTTCAGATTTTAATAATTAAGGGATAGGAGGTAAGTGACAGAGTAAGTTGATAATCATTTACATTTAATTTATTTTTCTTCCGTATCATGTCCTTCCTTTTACTTTCTTCCTGTAAATTTTGAATGCTTTTAACGGTTCTTTCGTTTTTATCTGATGATAATTGCTGATTTTCGATTATTTATTGCTGAATTCGTTGATTTACAACTTATCAGTTGAAGAAAAGTGTGTAAGTATAAAGAAATTGTTCTAATGCAAGTGATTGTTTTTCTATTCTTGTGTTCAAGATCGAGAATCAGCAACTATCACTATCATATCACTTTTTATATGCGTACTTCTTTTTGAAAAAAATACTCTTCAAAAGAGGGAGCAGATTAATTTTGTTGGGATTAAGATTATATTCTTTATGAAAGAAGAAGGAGAAAAATGTTTCAAGAAATTAGTTTGCAGAATTGTGAGAATTTAATGATCTAAAATTGTAAATTTAAGTTAAAGGAATATAAGGAACTCAAAATAAAATAATCATTTTTAGCATCAAATTTATTGTATTTTTTAACATGACAATTTGAATTCCATTGATGTTGTAATTAGGTATAACTGAAATAGGAAATGGATTTTGTTCAGGTAGAGTGCAATGTTGAAAATGTTTTAAATATTGATTGATGTACATATAATACAAAAATTATCTCTCACTTCCTAAAATAATTTACTGAATGAATGAAAAATTTTTTGAATGTATTTTTCTCCTTTCTACATAACAATCTATGCAGCGAATGTCTTAATTGTTTATTGTTCAAAATGCGACATACGCAGCGGTCAGTGAATTTATGTAGTATACGTTGCACGTTTTGAAAAACGTTCCTTTTCATTTGTTGTTTTTGTTATTTCATTGTGGCGTACATCTTTTCCAACATAATTACTTAACAAAATTTCTGCCTGATAGTAGTCTTCGGTCATTTTCGTTCAATAAACAAATTTACATTTTAGATTAAAAAGGTAATTCAATTGCTCGAATTCATTCAATAGGTGATAAGGTAGATAGTAGTGCTTCGTAAATATATACATTCCTGATAGTGGTGGATTTGGATTTTTTTTTGATAGCAATTAAAATTTTGACAATCATTTTATGTGATACAATAGATTTGTAGCTATATAAACTAATGCTGAAAATTTCTTCACTCGAATTTTTCATATTTCTTACGCCATTTGCTTTGTTTAGATTAAGTTTGATGAATGACCAGGACATGACTAAATCGACAGTATATTCGGGAATGAAAATTTATCTGAGGTTCTTTTCATAAAATAGTTTCGTCACATCAGCGATCCAAATCATCCAAATCTGATAATATATATAATCGCTTTGATAGGGATTATTTGATTAATGCATTTATTGATCAGCGACATTTATTCTGCGAAACAGGCCTGTTTCTTCTTTTTTCATTGAGCATTAGATTACCTCACTGAGACTTTCACATCCTTACATAAGTTACTGGTCTCTGTAAAAAGTAGGCCTTCCGTTAAAATCTTCATGCTGAATGAAATCTTCCGAGTTTTTTTCTCTTTGATCTTACAATGGCTGGATTATCTTTGCTATTATATAATGATCATAACACAATTTGAAATGTTGTCAAGGCTTGGGAAGATCGGTCTTTCAGGGTTAATTTTATGATGGGATAAGGTAGTTTTGTCGATAAATACTTGTAAGTAGGCATCTATATAATAAATAAATACTACAGACTAGCAGTTATGATTTGCCCTATTACTATTAACAATAATAGTATTAATGGTGCTTGTGTGTTTTATTTTTTTGCTGTGACGCTGGGGACATCTGTTTCTTTCATCTGTTGTCACATAAGCACCATTCCGGGACGGTAACCGTGTTTACGGTCTGATCTTTCTAAATCATTGTTGCTGGATATTACTGAATTCTACATTTTAAAATGAACTCAACACGTCAACAAATTCCCTTCTCCTATTGATATGTAAGATAATATTTTGGAATGTTTTGATGAAATGCTTCCTACAATTTAAGACTGCTCTTTTTTGGTGTGCGCAACATTTACACCTTCCGGAATGTCTAAATGTGGGATTTCTTTTATTCGACTCGAAATTGTGTCTCCTACTTCGTGTAATGTTTCATTGCGATAATGTTCCTTTTTTTCTCCATTTGTTTTTCTATTGTCGGAAATTTCCGGCGAAGAGGCACATCTTTTTCCATTGTTTGTTCTGGATGTGCATCATGATTTTGTAAATAAAATAAAAAATTACCACGGATGAGTGAAAGTGATATGGTTGTCGTGATAATGACGATTTAACGATTAAAATGCTTTATTACTTTCAAAGAAAACACATTCAACCCAGAAATTCACTCAAAACGCAAGTAATGGATCATATTTGGAAACTACTAGATTATAACAATTAGAAGCGAATATTAGAAGCATACAAACTTTGAAATGAAGCGGAATAGAATGTTCAGTTTCTCCATGCGTCATGCACTAATGTCGGGGAATGTACGATGTGGTAGGACCGACCATACGGATGGAAACACATGAAACAACTTAAACGAAAAATATGATAAAGGCATTCAAGCGAACTAACTGATCGATCTGGTAGCAATATGTGCACACCGCCGACAGCGCTCTGGAGAAAAGCTTAATATGTTAAGGGAGATTTTATCAGCTTACTCACCATTTGACTGATTTTTCGGTAATGTGTCAAAACGTTCATATTTAATAATTTATAATATTTCCTACGCTTTTTTAAAACACTGTAAATATATTATGGCTGGATTTTGCTCATCGCACCATGCTTATGACCGTTTTGTAGGGCATTATGGAGACAAGCTATGGCTATAACTCTGAAAGAGCGATTCTAGATTGACCTATTAGATCTATTCGGATATTCAAACTAATCAAAATCACGACTCTTCCTGTCAGCGCGATGTATCGCTGTTGTTAAGGCTCCTTCTTTTGTTATGGAGAGTACACTGCCATCGATACCTATAATTTTTTTTCCCGATTTTTTGGCATTTCTGTCTAAATCAACGAAACCAACAAATAATGGGATGATTTCACTATAAACAGAATATTTTGAGATATTTATTAATAATAGTAACATGAGAACGTGCTTCAAACGTTGCTCAAGATTGCTTGTCCAATAATCTCGTATTATATTATCAAAAACTTCGAGTAGTTTCCATTTCCATTACTAATCATGCGTACCAATAAAACCATCACAACTCAATTACTACTATTATTCCTAGTGACTGATAATATCTTAATGAATTTTTTCATCGCAGTAATAATTTGATAATTTTCATTAGAATAGAGAAAATGAATAGACGGAAAACCTGCAAGCTCAATGACAATGGATGATGTGGGTAAATTTGGTTCCAGACTGCTAGCAAGTTTCAATAAATCAACAGCTGCATTACCCGCTGCATTGTTGAGTGTTCCACGACTACATACATTTAAGCCTGATTCATCAGCACAAAGCACCCCTTTCATTTCCTCTCTGGACGCTCTGGAAGCAGAAGGCGTTAACTGCTCATTACACCTCGATCAGTTTTTTATTTTGCTTAGAGTTTATTCTATTACTTAAATACAGCTGGGAAAATTCTTAAACTGCAGTATTTTTTTGCTAAGAGATCAAGTAGAAGTACACTGTATCTGCTAACTTATTGCATAAAGCACAAAGTTCCTAGGGATACTTCAATCCCATTTGTTAAAGCATTGAGCATTATGTCTAAATATTCACAAAGTTAATACAAATATATTTAGAAGCACTGCGCGATTTACTGGGTTATTTCATAATATAATTCGTTACTTCTGTTCGAAGGAATGCAACCTATATATTTCCTTTATAATTCAGTTATTGCTTTTACAGCCTATAGCCTAGTTTGAAGTGAGAGGAATGCATTTTCCTACATGCATGTATGTCTACATATACACCGGCAAAATCGTAATAAATATAAAAAAACCAAATCCCACATTTCATCTGCTAATTTCTCCAATTGTGATTCCATTTTTTTTGTGATACAGTTGTGGAAATCTGAAATTAAAGATGTAAAAAATAATGAATGAAAGCGTAAAGAAAAAAAAATGCAACGTTCATGTAATATATCACTAGCCACTCAAATGATACGTGTGGACAACACTACTTGTATAAATATATATACTTGTAGAAACATCACTAAGTGCACCGGTATACCCAATGGAAAAAGGCGAAAATACCGAGGAGTTCTTCCTTACGAAGAAGTTATCCGAGGAGTTATTCTCTCAAGGAATTAGGAGTTTATTCCTTTTGCATGTACAAAATATTTGTTCCGGGCCGTTCTTGCTGGTATTTTGGGACGCAGGACTTGTGACCCGAAAAGTTTCTCGAAGTGGAGAGTGTATTTTCTAGAGACACATAATATGATTAGGGTAATGTAAAGGAGTGTGGCAGTAGAGGAGAAATAGAGATTAACGTTTAGAAAAGAATGTCTTTCTATACCATTCTTACGGTTAGAAAAACTACTAACGGAAGAGGATGATACGATTCTTAGTACGGTTAGAGAAGAAGGGAAGGCAAATTTCCCGAGAATATTTATAGAAAAATCTACAGAGAGGAGAGGTCAAAGGGGAGATCCTTACTTATTTACTATTGGTTGTAGTGAAATACTTTCTTTTGTTTGAGGTTTATTTGAAATTTTCGAATTTCTTAAAACTTGTGCAATTTTTATCTGTCTCACTTGACACTATTTTAGTTTCTTCCGCCTACTTCTTCTCACTCCGATACGAAAGCCCGATATATTTATGATAAAGTTAGGAAAGGAATAAAAAGGTTTATGTAGCAATGTTAAACGGATAATAAACTGCTTGGATAAAGCTAAAAACTTTAATATTTATCAACTTTTATTGCATAATTCATTTTTACATGTGAAAATTTTGCAGCTAATAATTAAATTATGATTATGGAGACGCATTATTTGTTTCAAAACTGCAAAACTTCAAACGATAAGAATCGCGGTGGCGGATTACCCTTTTGGAGGGTTTTCATGGATTACAGAATGGATAAGCCAATAACAGCTGATAGCATCAACAACGGGTCGCAGTATGCAACTTCTATTAATAGTTAGGTTTTCGTATCGTAATGTCCTATGTCTTTTAAGGGGATACTACAAGTTACAGTCAGTACGGTATACAGTCATGTATCATTGCAACAGTATACAACATGACTGCTTGTGTAATTTTAATTCGCAAGCTGCTGCAATAGCAAATGAAGGAATTCTATGGAATGAATTTCATTTTATCATGTTAACATTAGGTGGGCACACGACATATTCATGCATGATTAATTAAATTACGTATAATTTTGTCAAGCAGATTGTTTGGGGAGAAATTCATTGATTAGTGAAATGAATAAACAAAGTACAGTTTCTGATGATATGAATATTCATCTGTGGACGAATTTTAAGAAGAATTTTGAGCAAGACTAAAACTTTAATGGCACTGTTTTCCAGTTATTCTCGTTGTTATCATTAACAACATCTCCACTATCATCTACCATTATTATTAGATATAATCTTATCTTTGATAATCTTACACCGAACATAGGAATAAATGCTGCTGAAATAATTTCCTTTATCCATTATTCAGTAAAAGGTTATTTTTTGAAGATCTCAAAGATATTGAACAAATATCTGAATGCACATCTGAAGCATCACATGAAAATAATATTCAGACAGGAAATGGCGCGACGAAAAAACGACAGACTATCGGTAATATGTTTTTCCTTGCTTAATTCTTAATCTCATGCTTCAAATCATGGCACGAATACATTGCAATTTTTTTATCCAAACGAAGTTCTGAGTTGAAGATGGCTCTTTGTTTTGTAAGCATTTGTAACCATATGTTTTTATAACCACAACTTATGTTTTATTGCAACCACATATTTATATTTATTATAACCAAGCGGATTTTTTGTCCATTCCTGGATATTGATTCCCATTATTGTAGCTTGTAGCATAGAGAGGTATTGTGAAATCACACCATATCCAATAATTTTTTCTTTAGGTAGCTTTAATTTGGGTGCTGTATTCGCTGAAGCTGAAGCATCAGACAATCTGTTAGAGCGAAAGCAATTTAATTTAAAATTAGTGAAGGAATTTCGGATCGAAGATGGTACTACGGGTTTTGGTTATGATATGATCTTCAATGATGGCATCGATGAACGGTTAAAGTCGGTTATCATCGATGAACCATATTTGCGAAATAAATCACAGGTTTGTTACGACTGGATAGTGTATAGAAATTCCAAGGCCTTATTCAACACTTTAACTTGAGTTCGTTCTTCCAAATTGTTCCAATTCGAAATCGCTCGAGCGAACTAAACTATTTATTATTATCTTTTGTTGGAAACGTAGCCTGCCTTTTAAAATTAAAATAGCTTTTTTAATGTAAGCTTTACACATCTTTATAGCTGCTGACAAACAAAAGTATCTTTTCATTGACATTGGGAATTAAATAGAGTTGTGAGATGAACTTGGTAGTGTTTCACAACATATCTTTTATTAAGCGGTAGTTTGGCACGTTTTGGAAAAAAAAGTATTAGATTATTGAAATTCTCTCATTTCAGATTATAAACCTAGTTGCATTCTGCGAATTGTTGGTGTCAGGAGCACCGAACCTTCGTGAAATTGTGCTTTGCACACAGGCGGAACAAACTGCTTCACGGGAGCTGTGGCTGCAATTGAGACAGCTGAGGATTGATCTTATGTTACGAGATATAGTTTTGAAAATGAAATATAGCGGTACCATGCATGATCGGGAAATTAGGTCATACTTTTATTCTATTTAAGCCGGTGAAACCGTATTTCGAGATTTTTTCTTTAACTGCGAAGATTGCCTTTATATAGATTATGTCATGGCTTTGTTCGCTTTTTTCAATTAACGTGCCTTCTTATATTGACCACATTCGTCGTGATTTTCCTCTGGCAACTGGTATTTATTTTGAGTGACGAGAAGTATCCACCATCAAATTTTTCATATTACCTTCCAAAACGGGCTTTTTTTGAATTGAAATCATTTTTCAGATTTGATAATGGTTGGACCTATCGGATTGGTCGAGGTTTAGATTATTTTCAGAAGCAACAGCCATTAACTCTAGGAATAACCGATTTCAATTTAAGGAAATGTCAGGAGACAAGTATATGTATCTTAAGAGAAATGCGACGCAAGGATAATATGTAAATTAATTATTTTTATAGCGATCTAATAATTTGATGGATTGTTGTAATGCTGTTAGGAGCTCGGTTGTGAAAATTGGTATTAGGAATATAAAATCGAAATTTAAATTCACAACAAAGAATCAAGCTGTTTGTACTGCACACTTTATTATCTTTAAAGCTCAAATTATTATATTGATTTTTCTAATACTTCCGAGAATTTTTTAATCGTAATAGTTAGTATTCACGTATCTTTATATGAAGATTTGATATGAGAAATTTTTATTTTTATATATTTCAAGTTTTCATGTTAGCCTATTTGTCTTGTCAGGGCTTGTATCGTATAATATGCTCCTATTTTCAACGTAACTGTATAATATTCTGCACTTTGAAAAGTGTTTGATGATGTTTTAGTTAAATGAAGTATTATTGTACAATTTTTTTGATGTCTTTATGGACATATCTGTTTTCAGGTATCTAATATTCGCATGTTTTATGCTTTTATTTTCTTATCTTTCATATAGTCATCCATTGCAATGATTCATTATTGTTTGCTGTTATAATATATTATAGATGCCTTTTGTTTCATACACTTCTTTGATTTTGTAGAAATGTGCTTAATATAAAAGTGGATTATGAAAGGATCACTTGTTTCATTTTAGAATTTTAGAGTTTTTATGAATTGGGATAGGAGGCAGTTAAAACGTACTATGTATTATTCGAGGTGAAAGTATAGGAGGAGTATAACCAGCGTTTCTTCGGAATTCTTCGAATTTTTTAATTTTGGATCGTATTCAGTTTTTAAAGATTTAGTAATAATCATATTACAGTTGCTTTATGTGAATCTTAAGAATGTTCTTAATAGAGCACAGGATTTTCGAAGTGATAGTTTTTGCAGCAGAAAACTGTTGCAATACTATGGTACATGGCGATGTCATTGTCGTACTATAGTTTTACATAGCGATGAAATCAAAATCAAAGATTTGTCTAAACATTTGATATAAGATATAATACTGATAATTATTTATGAATTAAAGTTGGGACTAACATATTAAATTTGAGGTGAGGCACATACGTATAATTTAAGTTTTTCGTATAAAAACAAGTGCTAATGATATCAATCATTTCTAACATTTACCAATTACCATCATATTCTTCCTTCTTTTTTACCTATAAGACTCNACATTATAAAGAGTCTTATAGGTAAAAAAGAAGGAAGAATATGATGGTAATTGGTAAATGTTAGAAATGATTGATATCATTAGCACTTGTTTTTATACGAAAAACTTAAATTATACGTATGTGCCTCACCTCAAATTTAATATGTTAGTCCCAACTTTAATTCATAAATAATTATCAGTATTATATCTTATATCAAATGTTTGGACAAATCTTTGATTTTGATTTCATCGCTATGTAAAACTATAGTACGACAATGACATCGCCATGTACCATAGTATTGCAACAGTTTTCTGCTGCAAAAACTATCACTTCGAAAATCCTGTGCTCTCTTAAGAACATCCTTAAGATTCACATAAATATCAATAAAATTATACCCAATATAATATTGATTTAAAGAGATTTACCTGATTTAAAGAGTAGCATGTTGATTCGCTAACAGTTTCCACCGCCACCGCGATTCTTATCATTTGAGGTTTTGCAGTTTTGAAACAAATAATGTGTCTCCATAATTATAATTTAATTACTTAGATTTGCTTACTGTCAGTTGTGCGACAGATAATTGTAACATAATAATATAAAAGTAGCATACTGATTCGCTAACAGCTTCCACCGAAATATAGTAATACGTTAAGCTTGATATCATTTACTTATTATCTAGTATTTATCACTGCATATAGTAAGACTTGATTGTAACTTTTGAAATTTCATATCTTGCAAAGATTCAACCGAGGTAAATTTCAAAGTTCTTTATTGTGTTCAATCATATTGTATCCAAACCAAAAGTGTCACTGTATCGATGTTTAACGATGAACTTCTTCCATAACTGTTCAATTCATTTTCCAGATAAATTACCAATCACTATTACAATATTTTTAACGTAAATGTATTGTTTCATAACAAATTTGCATATTAACTAAAGGCTCAAAAATTTATTATTATATTGATAAAATATAACTTATGATGGAAATAGCTGTTGTTAAAATTTGCATATTATCCAGCTGTTTAAAAATAAATTTAGGCGTAATATTGCTCAGTCGGCGAAGGTTTTCTGGTTGATTGGTTGGTTGGTTTAACGACGCGATCAATTCTATTTCTTTGATTTCAATCTATCTGAAGGGTTTCATTTCAATTGAAATTTAACAATGTCGAAAACAACCAAATTGCTTGTGTTATTTATAATCGTCCTTATTGCTATGCCTAATATAGCAGAAAGAAGGTTTATTAAATTTCCTTTTTTGTTATTTCTCATTTTGCTAATTAATTAAAAAAATAATAATTCAATAGATATATAAGATAAAATACTTTTTTCTCTTTTACAACTAAGAGATTTCGATATTTCAAGGAAGATAAAAACTTTAAAGTTTCAAATTTATATTTTAACTTATGAATGTCAGAAATAGATGTATTTTAATTTCAAGTTATTTCAAATTGATAAAATGGATCATCGATATTTGAATTACAGAAGACGAGCATGCAGTGGAAAATGCAGGAAATATTGGCGATGTTTGCTTAATAAGAAGTCAAACTGTCAGAATTTCATAAGAACCTGTAATTGTCAATTGATGCCAACAAATTTTTAGCGATAAATGATCACTGCAGAATTGATCCATGCAAAATGTTATCTTTTTGCGCAGTGATCGTATCCCAATGATATTTCAGTTATAGGCTTATCGGTTCTGCTTGTAAGTGAAAAATAAGTCATGTACATTATAAATGTTACACACACGCATGAAATAGTTACGTAGTAAATATTACACACAAAAGAGTTAGATACACACGAAATCTAAATCAGAACTGTAAAATCATATTCTTTACTATAAATAAATAGGTATGAGAGAATGAACAGAGAAGAAGTGATATAAATGATAACAAGAAATTCGATCATTAATCGTATTATTATTTTATAGCTAAATCAAAATAGAAAATAATTATTTTTTTTTTAATTAAATTCTTTTTTCTCATATCGGTGATATATTTACTTTATTATAAATTATGCAAATTGCAACTTTAATTTAATGAAATAAATTTCAAAAATTCTTTTTTCAATGTATAAAATTCTTTTCAAATATTTTTGAATGTAAACTTTATATTTTGGTAAAAGAATTTCTGAGTGTGACCTTTTTGACCTTTTTTGACCTGACCTTTTTTTACATTTTTGACACTTTCAAATTATTTAAATTTTTTAAACGATTTTTTTTGGGTGGTTTATTTTCTTGAGTTATTATAAAAACTATAAGTTGACGAATTTCATATTAAAGAAGATCAGAATAAAAGATAAAACAAACTAATCGCTGGTTCTTAAAACTATAATTGTTTATGTTTACATGAATTATGGATGAAATGTTCATAGTTAAGTCTAATTGACACCTTAATTAATTAATTTATCATTCGCAATCTTAATATCAATCAGGCAAATTCATTTTTAAATATTAAATTATTGAGATAAATTATCTTCTAAAGTTAAGAAAAATCAAGATTTAACACACAAAAGTATTATTGATAAGAAACAATATTCAGTAGCATTTTCTTAACAATCAATAATTTGAATTTGAAACTTTATACTTTAGTAATAGAATTTTTGAGTAAATGACCTGACTGACCTTTTTTACATTTTTGATATATTCAAATCATTTCCTCTATTAATTAATTATTTTCCCGCACTTCTAAAATTGAATGAAAGAAAGATAAAATGAGTAGAACAAATGAAAAAGAAATAATAATAGAAAAGATAATAAGAAAACGATCGGATCATCCTATTTATTGCTCTCTCTTATCTGACAATAACTGTTTATCAAAAATTTTTTTACAAATTTTGGAAGAAACTATTTTCTCAAATTATTTAATTTCAAAATGTCTAAAATCAAAAAATTTTTTTCTCTCAACTATCTTTCAATACAAATTATAAAAGTAAATTCATTAATTTCTCTTCAAATTCTCAACTATTTTCAACATTTTAATAATTTCATTAATTAATGATATTAATTAATCAATTAATATTAATTAATATATATCGACAAAAATATTAACCAAATTTATGAATATATTATTTACTATCATGCCATTGTTGCAGAACTCATCATCATTTTCCACAATAAGTTAATTTTTGGAAAACGGAGGATATTATTAATTTAGCTATTCCATTTTTGTTTACTTATTTACTGCATTCCTACAGGAATAGTAGCTTTTTTCTTCGATTACTGATGTCCATCTTTTAGTATTTCAGTTTGATAATATTTGAGATATGATATAAAAATCAAATAGATAGTTGATATTATGAAAGTTGAAAAAATTGTAATAAATCGACTAATGAATAAAACAATTACAACAATAATGGAACAGAAATAGAATTCAATGAAAGCAATTTTAATTAAAAATTTTTATCTTACAAATTTCTAATTTCGAATTGAGAAAAATATTGCTAATTTTATTATTTCTATAGTTTGTTGAATAATTTTTCCTCAAATAAATGAATAAAAGATGAATAATAAATGTTATTCTTTTTCAAAATTTTCATTATTAAATTGAAATTTAATAAATTTAATAATAATTAATAATAAATTTAATAATAATTAATAATAAATTTAATAATAATTAATAAATTTAATAAATAATTAAAATTTGAAATTTAATAAATTAAAATTCTTGACAGATTTTGATTTTGACTGAGAAAATTAGATTAATTATAATTTGCGAATGCGTTACAGTATACAATCTAAACCTATAAACAATTTTCTTACATATTTCTGCATCGTTGAATTCCTTTTAAATCGATAGAATTATTTTAGTTTTTCTTTATGCATCATTCATTTAACTTTAGCAATATAAAGAAGATCAATCAGTTCGTCGATCGATTATCCAACCAGTCATTTTATTATTATTTTATAATCCAATGGATCCAATGGAAAAAATTGATTACTTTGCGGGTAGCATTTTGCAATGAAACAATCATTAATTTTAATTATTCTTGCCATTCTTTGTTTTCTTTTTTTTGATATTTTCCTATTGTTTTTATTCTTTAATAGATTATTAATTAATTTGTTGTCTTTTCTGTTAACTCTTAATGGTTTGATTAACAGCTTATCATTCAGTAATTTCATTTGCATTGTGTAACATCTCTATTTCACTTATTAACTTAACCATCACTATTCTTCGGTTGAAATGTCTGATGTCTAATGATTTTGTAGAATTTGATCACAAAATTTATTTTGGACTTAAATGATTCATGTAATATTTTATTTTTATGACCGGTAGTTTCCCTTAATATATTTTTTTGTGTTTTCTAAGAAAATGAACTTGTCAAAAAGAAAGTCAAAAGTTTTTCACTACGTCTTAGCAAAAGGTGTATATCCTTCAATCACTTTACAGGTAAGTTTCTTCGTATCACCCTTACGAATGCAATGTTGCATTAAATTATCATTCCTTCTTTTATGAAAGAAAACATTTTCAGGATAGAATATGTAATAACTTAGTCACATCAGATAATGATAAGATTAATTCTAATTTTATCAATCAAAATTGATTTTTAACTATTAGTATATACTTCTTAATATTTTAACGTCCATATTCTTGTCAAAGAGAGGGTTGGAAATCGATTAGATAAGAATTGTGGTTTATAGAATTTGAAATTTCAATTAGTTTTATCTTGCTAAGCCAAAAATAGCTCTTTAAACTTTTTTTCTAGTAGAATTCTTTATTTAAAATGACAGTCAGATGAAAATTACATCAATTTGGACGAAGATGGTGAAGGATTATTAGCCATTAAAGTGCTTCTAATTATAGAATTTCCAGTTTAATTATTGCTGCCACTGAATCGTTTTTCAAAAGCGGGATTTGATGATATCGGTTCTCGCATTCCTTGAGAAGTCAAGAAATATCTGGAATTGATTGTTTTAAATGATATTAAAATAAAAGCACTCATGCAAAAATTAATCTGTATTCCAAATGATAACACCAATTATGCAAGGATGATGAAATCCTGCAAGACAGGATTTCATCCAGAAATGCTTTACACTCACAAATTTTTACTTTACTTTAAAGTCTTGTGTCAAACTTCTAATGTGCATGTTCAATGATTTACCTGATTAAGAGTTGTTTGACTGATCGAATAGTCCGTCGCATTCACCGATTCTGCCAATTTTCCGAGATTTTCGAAAAGCGTTGACCATGTTCGCTCTTTCTGTACTGATAATTCGTAATTTAGATGCAATATATGCTCATCCTGAAATTCTTTCCCAAACTTTACTAATACCGGAATTTATTTGGAATAGTGGAAAGATAAGACTTAGCAGTATTATAAACTTTTTCCACAATTTTTAACTCATTCTAAATAAAAATCTGCGATAACCATTAGTCGAGCATCAGGAAACATTTCTTTTATTAACTCTTTTGTAGGTTCAATCTGACTACTTGTGGATAATCGTATTGCCAAGCTATATCCGCTACCGTATCTGGAAGTAATTGATGAAATTTGATAAATTCCGCTATACCGATAACTAATATCAATAAATTTAAACTTTTCCAAAAGCAACATACAATACTTCATTGACATCTATTCCGGAATTGTGTTCAAAGACGTTTGATTATTTATTGACAAAAATCGGATAACAATTATGGTTGTCATTGAAATTGCCAACTTCATTAAGAAATTATTGAGTTTCTTTTTAATTTATTTACTTTGATTTGATGTACTGTGTGCTGCCAAAACATCGGAATACACCATTTGTCATAATTGCAATTTGTGTACAAAGCGCATTACATTCCTCCATATTATGTGAAGTGAGCACCAAGGCAGTATCACTTTCTCTAATCTTTAAAAATTATCAATTATCTTATTAGTGTTTCATTAAGACAAAATATATTGAAATAGACAAAGAAATTATTTCTGCCTTCTCCCATTTACTAATCATTTTCAAGTTAATTTTTGGACTTACTTTTGATAGAATATCCCAAATGAGACGTCTTGCATTTGGATCGACTCCAGTTGTTGGCTCATCCAATAATAAAACATCAGGTAGTGTTAATAATGCAACACCAAGGCTTAAGCGTCGTTTATTGCCACCAATGAAATTAAAATTTTTATTAAATAAGATTTCGATTCTAATTGTTTCTCTTCCCTTCCTCGTTTTCCTTTTTTTGCTTGATTAAAATTCGTATAGCCAAAATGTTAAAATATAAATTATTTCAGATAAGAACAAAAATGACTAAGAAGTTCAATCAAAATCGTTATAAACTTTTTACCAAATAAAAAACAAAAAACTCTTAAATTAAAAAGAATATTTCATAGATTGTCTTATTCAAAAGATGATCATCAAATACTTAATATGATCGATAACAAATTTAAATTGTCAAAATATCAAAAATTAAAATATGCAAATTCTGCAGTACGGTTAGTTCTTCGCTAATATGCAATTGTTAATAATGCAAATAAAAGTAACTTTGTATAGAAAACTCTTAAAAATTACTACACCCAAAGCAAATACTGTTATAATATTTTGAAATGATAATTTGATATCATTGTGTTACGTAGAAGTTCTCAAACAAAGTCGGCTATGTATTTATATCGTTGCAAGTAGCGCTGTTAACAATCATTTGAATAAAGGTGACGCAGAATTCTGAAGTTCAAGAAATGCTATCATCCCTTCCAGCCAAAAATTCATTATGTGATTTCTTTCATAGATATTTCATATATCTTAAAAGTGAAGCAAATCTTCTATCATACGATCGGATGTAAAAAGTTTGATGAAGTTGAATTAAAAATATTAAAGTTTCAATGTTACGTGCATAGTTTAGCGGTCTTTAGCTGACAATGAATAAAATGAAAAGTTTTGTTTTTACGAAGAAATAAATAAGACCAAAGTTAATAATGATGTAATGATGTTAAACGGTCAGATTATGGTCGATATTTCTCAGCATATTCATATTAGTTTGATAATTAGCTTGTTAAAGTAATCAATAATACTTTGAAGTATTTTATGTACATTTCACAGGCAATAAAGATTTTTTCAGAAGTTCAGATTTTCTGAATCTTTGTATTTTTGCAAAAATTCAAAAGTCATGTTTTGCAAGTATACGCAACAGCGGTCGTAGCTTCATCCACCATTGTTCCATGGGTAGACGATGAGCGAAATCGGCATCTTCCATTAATTCTTCCACTGGTGTTAGACAAACATATTTGCCAATTAAACCCTGTAGTGTTGCTGTACCAGGATGGCAAAGATTTGTCTTCCTAAATTCTTTCATTTGTCCGAGAAGATGAACAACCGCTCGAGCGCCCATCTTTGCAGCAAAAAGTCGATCAAACGGTGAAGGATTGCCACCTTGTTGAGTATGACCCAAAATATTGGTTCGAGTTGTAAAAATACCTTTACCTTCTTCGGTAAATAGTTGTCGGATGAATTCAGACGTGTAATTATCTGATGCTTTTTCATTCCGAACTATCAAGTAACGTTGAGCTCCAGTTTTCATCTTTTCCGCAATGACATGTATATCATTGATCAGTTCATGTACGTTGAAAATTTCTTCATAGATATAAGCTGCGTCGGCACCACTTGCCATTGCTGATAAAGTGGCCAAATAACCACAATAGTTTCCCATCGTTTCGATAATAAAAACACGACGCTTGGAACCAGTTGCTGATTGCTTGATTTTATCGATCATTTTACAAATTTCATTTAATGATGTATCAGCACCAAGAGTAAATCCGGTGCCCGGCACATTATTATTGATAGTGGACGGAATGACACACATTGGAATCCGGAATGGTGGAAAATTTTTACGATTTTGAGCAAATATTAAGCATGTGTGATAAGCATTGAAACCACCAATTATAATCAAACTGTGGATATTGAAACGTAGTAAATTCTTAGCCATCAATGGTAGAGTATCATCATTAGGAAGAGCAGGCTGAGAGCCAAGGAATGAACCGCCTTCTGCTGACCATAATGTTACATCGTTCCATTCCATTTTTTGAAACTGACCCGAAGCAAGGCCTTCATTGGAATTATAGATGCAGTACGGGATACATCCTTGCAGGATAGCCGTTCGGACACAGCTCATCACTGCTGCATTGCAACCAGCGCACGGTGAACCAACGTTCATAATAGCAATATTAAAGCCCTCCGATATTGGTTCATGTTTATAGATTTTAGATAGAGTACGGTACATTTCCACGTTCCGTCGAAAACTACGACCACGTAGTTTTAGAGCCATTGCCCAATCCTTAGCATCCATTGCTGTTTTGACAGCTTTCGTACGTTCCACACATTTCATCAATGGAATCCGTACCATCTGATTCCCATCAATGGAAACAACACAGGGTTCCGATTCATCGTTCATTTCCATTAATGCTATCGTAGCTTCTGCTCCCATCCTGCAACCTAGCAACCGATCGAATGCAGATGGACTGCCACCACGTTGGATATGCCCTAAAATTGTGACACGAGTATCATATTTCATATTTTTCTTAATTACATCCCGAATCACATTTGACGATATTGCTTTTCCGTTCTGATCAATGGCTCCTTCGGCAACAATCACAATGTTGACACGATTTCCATCCTCACGCATTTGTTTTAGCTTTTTGCATAAAGTATTTTCCCAACGACCTGGCGGTGGCCATTCCGGAATGAAGCAGAAATCCGCATCCAGTGCTAGTGATGCGGCTAATGCTAGATATCCACAATGGCGTCCCATCACCTTAAAAGAGAATTCGACCTTAAAGAAGAAAAAATTATAATTTGATGTTTTGCTTTCAATTCAAATATTTAATCAAATTTGGTCCCTACTTTTCAAATATTTTTGCAAATTACCTCAATAACGAAACATCGTTGATGACTGTGAGCAGTTGAACGGACTGAATCGACAGCTTCTGTGATTCGATGCAACGCAGTATCCGTCCCAATCGTCATATCGGTACCACAGAAATCATTATCAATTGAACCGACAATTCCGACAATTTGAATTGATTTACATTTCTCGGCATCTTCTTTGGTAATAACCTTTGCATTTAATAATTCCTTCACCAATCCAGACCATTCATTTCTGAATGTGTTGGCACCTGTCAGCGATCCGTCACCACCAATGCAAACCAATGATGTAATACCATGTCGAATGAGATTTTCCGCTGCTTTCAATCGTCCTGCTCGCTCCCGAAAATCTTTGCAACGTGCTGAACCAATCACTGTACCACCCTTCTGGATAATGTCAGAAACTGTCTCCCAAGTAGCTTCTTTAATAAACTTCCCACCATCAACCATACCCTGATATCCTTCATGGATACAGAATACCCGTGCACCAAGATATAAACCAACTCGAACTATGGCACGTACCGCACTGTTCATTCCAGGTGCATCACCGCCACTAGTGAACAAACCCATAATTTGACCTTTGTATTTTCCCTTCTTCATAACAGATCCTTCATGTCCATTGACTGCTTTAATTTGAAATTCTATGTCGGAAGTGACATCGGATGGAAGTACCGGCAACTCGCCGATCACTTCTTCAATTTCAGCCATCAAGCCCCAGATGTTGTTCCGCCAAGTAAAAGTTTAACAACTTCGTTGTAACAATTCACAGTTTAAAATTTCTATAAAATTGCTAAACTCTAAAACTGAACCCTTTTATAGCTAATATCTAAAATAAAGAATTTGAATATGCATATCAAACATCTGGCATTTTAGTGATTTTAAATAAACTTAGCTTTATTTTTTGAATATATAACTAAGATTGTAATTAATACAAAATTTTATAATCTTATAATCAATCCAAACTATAATGAATTGCATACTAACTAAAAATACCGCGGTGTAGAATATTTTTTTTAAGTGAACAAATTTACTTATTCTACATTTCGAATACGGTACGTTAACTTTCCATTATCCAAATTAAGCAAAGGTTTAGGTTAAGTTGTGAAAAATCGTCAAATATTGCATTTACCACTAAGAAATTGTAAGTTGCATGCTTAAACATAGTTAAGAATATTACTCGGTAGGTATCAAAAAACTATCTTATCTATAACTATACATCTATATCCATAACTATATCTATAACTATATCATAATTATATCTATATCTATAACTATATTTATATCTATAACTACATATCTATAACTGTATCCTATTATAGGATATAAATAAACTAATAAAAATTATATTAGGAATTTTACTATAATTAATGAAGTGATATGAAAGAGCTATGTAAAAAATCTCACTTAAAAATAACCTGTATGTTTTAATCATATTGTTTCTATATTTATCAAGTGCGATAGCATGAATCATCGAATCGATTATTCGCATAACATCACACTCTCTGACCCCACGTAACCGTGCAAACATCTGTAACGTTTCCTGGCCAGTCATTTCATCAATAATTGCATCAAACTGTGGACAGTATCCGATATGATCATATGCCTTAAAAAAGCACAACGAATAATAGTTTTACTTTTGCAAAAAAAATTTAGTAAGATTTTTGTTGTAAATAAATTCAAATATTACGGTGGTTTGTAATTTCATTTATATCATTTACTGTTGTTAAGTTTGAAAAAATAATAGATCAAACTTTTCTCCATTGAGTTTGAATATTGAATCCATGAATGTAAGCATCACCCGCACAATTCTTAATTTCACCAGTTAACATTTGAAATGCTGTTGTTTTACCAGCACCATTTACACCTAAAAATTTTGAACATTTTTAAAACACTCATATCGAATAAAATCCTTATACTAATGATATCTTTTCACGATAGATTTCCAAGATAGAATATATTTATAACAACAAAATTTAAGTTACAGTTAGAAAAAATTTCATAAATGGATAAATTCTTTTAAATTAAAATTAGCCTAAGGAGTAGTTCAACGAATAACATAGTTATATATAATAATATACCTAATAAGCCAAAGCATTCGCCTTTTTCAACATGAAAATTAATCTTATTGACAGCGTTCAGCTTTCCATAACATTTCTCGAGATTACGAGCGATCACCAAAGCATCGCTATTTGTCATTTTATTTACTTTTTCTCTTTCCATCATCACATTCATATCTTCATCACAAATTGGATAATTTTCTACGCAAGTTATCTGCAAAAAAATTGACTTATTTTTTCACCGTTTCAATTGAAAGAATCAAATATCTAAAAATGCCTACAGTTGAATTTCTTTGTTATTATTAGAGTTAATTAATTATTTATGAGAAGTTGAAATTTAGTCCAATTTTTCTTTATTCTCTCAAAAACAATAGAATCTTTTGATTTCTAGATATCATGGAAACTGCTTCATCGAGTTAAACAATGATAAATATAATGAGATGGAGAAGAAAATAAATAGAAGTTTAAATGAGATGAAGAAAAACGAAAAAATTTGTGAGAAGAAAAATTAAGTTTTGTCTTACTTTAATAAGAGATAAGAGAAGAGAATAATTAATCTTTAATTAATGGTTAATTAACCAACCTTATCATTTGTTTTAATATTTTTTTGCAACCATCGTTTAATAATTCCAATAAAATTTATTTCATAAGCAGCAATAGGAAGCCAAAAGAAGATTGAATGAAGAAATAAAAATATAATCATTAATAATATTCCCATTTTACCCGTACTTGTTAGCATATTATCAATATAAAGTCGTTCTAAAAATATAATACGAATTTTAGATATTTCAGACAATTCGAATATTTCCAAATATTTGCTTAACTTAACATTATTGAATTTGAACCATAGCTTCATTATCAATTAAGAAGTTAAAATTAGAATAGTATAATTAAATTGATAAAGAAAAATGCACAAAATGAATACATATCATATCATATCATATCCTACCATATCAGTTCATAATGTCAATGATAATTTTTATCTTTCTATCTTTTAATTATTTCACAAAAGTTTTTTTGCAACCTTTCCAATCTATTCAATAATTTCAACATCCTTTTGTTTAATAACGAAATACTAAATAATATATAAAAAATGAAAACTTTCTAACTTTTAGTTTTCCATTTCTATCTTTGTAATCTATTTATAAATCAATAGGAATATGAAGTTTTGTCTGAAAAAGAAACTAACCATCACTATTACCACAACATTCTTTGGCCATCTTACGAACTTCTTCAATTGAACAATTAACAATTCCACATGCTTTACGTGTATGCTCGTTTGTGTAAGTTTTCGAAAAGCAAAGACTTAAATTATAAGTAGGAAATAGTAATGAAAAAATGATAGAAAGTGTATTTGCCGTATCACTACCACTCGCTTTTTCAACAATCGAAACAGCAACAGCACCGATCATACCTATTTTAAAGAATGATCATAATAAGAAATATGAAATGAACGAGAAAAAAATCAAAAATCATCCACCCCTGATATGACAGGTTACTGTTGATGTAACAAACATTATTTAGATGGTGGTCATTTCTGATGGTGATGGTCATTCCTGTGATGATGATGATGATAATGATGAGTATTGTGATATTTCAATAAATTTTTATGAAGCAGTTTACGGAGAAAATTCATATACTGTGTTGCATCTGTTTATTTTTATTTGGATAAAAGGGATTGTGCTAATGGATTGTTCTTTAGTTCATTTATATTATTCCATTTTGTGAAGGAAAAAGATAAATTAATTGAATTAAACAATTTTAATAAATTTATTAGATTATTAGAAATATGAAGAAAACCTGTTATAAAATTATAAACACATATGGTTGCATTTCCATTAGCTGGCGATTTGAACAGCAACGAACAGAAATAAACAAACGGTAATTCAGCAAAAGCATAAAGTAACATAATTAAATATATTGTTATTGTTATCGTACTGTCAGTTGTAAATTCCTAAATGTTTGAAATTTCTTACAGAAATTATACAAAACATTTGGTACCATAGTCAAATGGTACCATTTGGCATCATTTGATAATAGAGTACCATGATTTTTCATAACAAAATAGCTATGAAATTGATAGGAAAAACTGCATTAAACAAAATTTATGATATTTAAATGCGAATGAAATAACGAAGAAATTTTTTCATTAAAAAATTAAATTGAAATTAAAAAGTTAAAATAAATTTTTAGGAATGCAACATATTATTAGTAATAATTAGATTTTAGCTTTACTAAAATTGAATTATTATTGAAATTAAGCTAACTTTTAAATCAGCTATAAAAAAGACGCTAATGCAAAGTGTAGCAGGTATTAGGAAAACTGTAAAATCCCATAGAAATGCTGTCAACCAATAAGTCCAATGTCGTAATCCACAAATTATCTATAAAATTAATTAAAAATAAGACAATTAAAAAAATTGATTTCAATTATTAGTTACAATTAATTCAAAATATAGTATCGCGTAAACATTTTAAGCGAAACTTTTTGATAAATTCTATTCTAATTAATAAGAAATAAATAATTATTGGGAATATAAGGCGCTAATAGAGATGAAGATAATGATAAATTTACACTATGGATGATAATAGTTCTAAAAATTTCAATTTCAATTTTATAAATTTTAAAAAGTTGATATAATACCTGCATATGTTTCGATTTTGTCGTTCTCTCATATATAATGAAATTAACAAAACTTGCGACAAGAGCGCTCATTGACATGATAGCTGCAAAACCGATTGTTAATGCTGCTTGATTAATGACATCTTGACTTTTGAGAGTATCTGTTGCTGCTGGAGGTAATGGATGATTGCTGACCTGTTGAAAAAGAAAAACGAAATATAATGTTGTCATGAATTTTTGGAATTTCGATTTTGTAGAAAATCAATTTAATGAGTAAAATATTCGAAATTTGAATCAAAATTTTAGAAAATAAATTATATTTTATTTATTTGAATTAAATCTATCACATCAATTTATATGCAAATATTTAGAAATTTCTTTTACCTGTCGATTAAATATTTGAGAAATGTTTATACCTGTATAGAGATATTTCGTTGAATATTTCTATTTATAATTGCTGTATCAGCAAGATTAACTGCTAGTGAAGGAGAATGTAATGCATAATTATTGAACATTGCTGAAAAAAATTTTTCAATCATTTTACAAATTTATTAATTCAATTAATTGCAGTATTTTAATTTGAACAATTAATAGTAACAGTAATAACTTACCGATGAACCAATCATCAAACAAGAAATTACTGAAATAATTATATGCAATTGGATTATGTAAACCAAAGCTACGATCTTTTTCCTGTAAAATAAAAGTAATTAATTAATTAATATAGCTGGAAATTATGTATATTATTATTGGCGCTTTTTTTTGAATAAATCTAATAGAAGGTAATAAGAAATATTGTACTGATAGTTCCAATATGATAAAATGAAATTTATCTTAAACATTTTATCATCCAATAATAATATTTTAATCTCAAATGAATTTAATTCAAAATAAATTAATATCGATCAAACTTTTCACAATTAAAATATTCATAGAACAAACAGTTAAAGAAGTATGGAAATAAACAAGCCTTTGATTAATTAATAATTCTATTTCGTAATAGTTAAACTTATATATCAATTGATTCAAATATCATCAAAAATGCAAATTACTTTATCCAAGCTTTCAATTAATTCATTGATAATATCATCAGTGGCAGTCAATTGAAATGGACATTTATACATATTATTTATAGAAGCTGCTTGTTGTATTACTCTAAAATATGCATTTTATTTGTGATGATGGGAAGAGATTAAAACGAAATTGAATTACAATAATAATAATTCATGAATTTTTGAAGATCGAATGTTCTCTCGATGAAATTCAAACTTATCTAATAATTCTATTTAGCCACCAGCTAGCTGTTGCAAAATTCAAGCAATAAAAACTTTTCACAAAGCATTTAATCGTACTAAACTGACCGCTGTGCACTTGCAATCATATGCATCTCAGAATTTGAAAGTTATATGTCAAATGGTATTAATGAATAAGTAGCTTAATTAGTTTAATAATTTTAAATGCAATAATAAATTTTTATATTACTCTGAAAGGTTTCCTTGAAAATATTTTGCTGCTGTATTTTTTACATTAATATTAGCATTAATTCCATTGCTACAATAGGGTTGAAGGTCAATCAGAAGCCTAGGCTGCTCTTTTGGTACAGGTATCATCATGTATGCTTCCATGATAAGTAGCATAGAAATCACCTATAAACAAAACTATTATGAATAATTTTGGTGTGATTTTCTCTGAATCCGGAAAGAATTCTTAAAATGAAAAATCTGTAATAAATTTAAAGGAGAAATTTTCTAATTATATCATAAAGAATTTATTTTATCGTAGTCAAAAGAAGTTATAAACAAATGTCAAAATTTTAAAATATTTTGTTAAATTTTTACATTTAAATTTTACCGGAAACAATAATTCAAGAAAAAAAAATATGCGCTTCCGGAAGAAATATGCAAGGCGTTTGTGAAACATTGCTCGAAAATGTTGCAGATAGTATGAATAACCTTGTAACCGATTTTCATATCTCAGTTCTGAAAAATATTTATTATTTAATTCTTCCTATAATTAATAAATCTATTGAGTGCGATATTTTTATGTCGCATGATTTATGATCATAAAGCAATTACATCCAATATTCATATAATTTCAATTATGTATTTTTTTTAAAATAAATTTCGCTACTTTACAAGTGCACAAATAAAATATCAAATTTTGCAAATTTTAAGTAATATTATAGGAGACAGAAATTTTTAACATAAATTAATACCAGAAACATCAAAATGATGAATCCTGCTTTCTGGAATGTCATTATCTGTTACAGACAACAATTTCTCGGTAGCATCTTGACATACTCTGAAAATAGCAGGAGATTTGAAGTGAAAATTTGAAAATTGATTAAATTTATTCAGTGAACAACTATTCGAATAATAAATGCAATAGTTTCAGAAATCACCTCCAAAAAACTTCTTCCATTGTTGTCACCGATACACCAAATGTACTGATCCCAAGAAGATCAGTGTTTTCCTCCAATTGTTGAAATAAGCTCGGTAAGCTAAGAAAAATTCTCATTTCTATTTTCATCATTTGGCAATTAAAAAACTGCTAAATTTAAAATCGATTATAATTTTATAAAAGTTTGTTGCTAGAAAATGAAATGTTTTTAATGTGAAAGAAATTGATAGAAATCGAATACACTGAGCCATATTTGACAGCAATTGGACATTACTAATTTCAACTGGACATTACTAATTTTTCATCACATTTCAGGGAAAAGTTCTAACTAGTCAAGTACTAACTACAAATTAGACTATTATGAAAAATATGTCAAGGTCAAATAAATACTTGATACATTCATTTAAATTTCACTACTCCATCTTAATCAAACGAACTAGACTTGAAGGTATTCCACTGAAACTTTCATTTTAAAACTTACTTTTGTCGCTGATCTGCAGGTAACAAAAAGGTAACTTCAAAACCATTCGATGAATGGATTGCAACATCGCGAATGAATTGACGAAGTAAAGCTAAAGTCTTTAATATTGTTGCGGCATGATCATTTGCTTCCTTATTCTTATTATACAATACCGTTAACCGATATTGACCACCTGAATATTGAAATTTCATCAATTATATTACGACAGTATCATCTTTTTTTTCCAATTATATAATCAATGTTATTTCAAATTCACAGAGAAATTTAGGAAAATTTTTCTTGGAATTCATTGATCAGTCTATTATCAATAAATTATCAATGAATTTATCATAAATTAACATCAATAAATTTATCACAAGTAACACATCGATGTAAAACTTTTTTACCATATTTTTTACCGTACAAAAATTACCGTATTTTTTTTTTAAAAATAATCCTGAACCGATGCATTGTAATCTGCCGTAAGCTATTATTATTATCCGATCGCCTAAAATATCCGCTTCATCCATGTAATGTGTTGTAAGTAATATTGTACGGCTTTTCTGTAAAAGAAATTAACTGTAAATTATTTGAATATTTTTTTGAAACTTTTGAATTCATAAAGAGGAAAGCTTTTGTTTCACCTATAAAATCATTAGAAATGCAATTCTTTTTTTTTAAAACAAATGATTAATTAAAAAAAAATCTATTCGATATAAGTCCATTTTTCTTCTCTTAAAAGTTTTTCATTAAGAAAATCATCAAACCTTTTCATCCTGAAGTAATGACCAAGTTTCATTACGTGCATCCGGATCCATTCCGGAAGTTGGCTCATCTAATAGAACAACCTAATGAATGTTTTAAAAAAATTAAAAATGTATCTTAGAAGATGGCATTTGTTTTGATAACATTTTGATATATTAATTCTGATAAAATGTTTTGCATTCTAATTATTCAATTATTTTCGGTTTATTACTTACAAGTTCATCTTTATATCGCTTAACTCAAATTTTTAGAAGTTTATTTTAATTGAATTTAGCCAATTATTCCTTAGCACAGAATTTCTTTTCCGACGTTTGAGACAATATCGTCCAATATATTCAACTAATATTCTTACTATCGCCGCTTTCTGGGAGTAAATAGTTTGCATACGAAAATGCACATTTAAATTATGTGAATTGTGATTCACATAATTTAATTGATCATGATCATTTCCTTAAATTCTGAGAAAATTAAACTTATTTACCTCAGAGTAACCAATAAGCGCAATCGCCAAAGATAATTTACGCTTTTGACCACCGGATAAATAGCGTCCATAAACATCTGCTTTATGATCAATTTTAAGCCTATGCAATAGGCCATTCGCTTCTTCCACCTGCCAATCACGCCCTTTCAACTGTAATTCAATTAATTTCATAATATGATTGCCAAAAAAACTCTTTTTCCTATATAATCTTTTTCATCCATTTCCAATTAATTTGTTTATTTAATTCCTAAATACTTCAATTCATTTTAGTAAATGAAAAATTTAATTTCTTTTTAGTAATCTGTCACTTTCATTTTAAGATCGAAAACCTTTTAGCTGCAGGTAATAAAGAATAATTTAAAAAGATTCTAAATTTTATGCTACAAAATTTATTTCCTATAACGCTTATTAAAATCTATATTGTAAAATTGCTGCTAGGAAATCTCAGTTAAATGCCTCATATTAAATGCCAAATTAACAAATTCATTCCTCAAATTATTTTAAAATTTTGGCACAACTAAATATCATTGAAATATAGCCAAATAATTTTTGCTATTCTTCTTGGCAAATACCTTGCAAAAGAATTCAAGATGTTCCATGACAGTTAAGCAATCAAAAATAATGTTATATTGTGGACAAAATCCAATCCGAGTTCGAATTTCCGGTAGATCTTTCCGAATATCATAACCTTCGATATATGCTGTACCGCTAGTTGGTTGTCGAACACCTGAATTAATGAATTAAAAAATTCAATTGAAAATATTAGATTAAATAATTCATATAATTATTCATTCATTGATTATCACAAACAAAAATTTAACAGAGAAGATATGAGAAGTAATTTTTCGAAACGAGAAATTTCCAATAAGTAATTTTCAAATTTTGGAAAACAATTATTTCAAATGTTAATAAAGATTACCGGTAAGAATCGAAAATGTGGTACTTTTGCCAGCAGCATTTTGCCCTAACAATACTGTTATTTGACCAGAATATATTTTTGCATACAAATGATCCACAGCCTTTGTTTCTTTCTCATTCTATAATTCTAATTATTTTTATTAAAAAAAATTGTTATTGTTTTTTTTTTAAATAATTCTAGTACGATCAAATAAGATTAAAATTAAAACCCATTAAATAATAAATTGGATTGAAGTGAAGGAGTGAAGATTGAAGTTAAATTTGATTTGAAATCTTTGAAATGAAACTTCAAAAAATTTCGATAGAAAAATTAAATCATTTTAGTTTACCTAAGTTAATTTTTAACCCAAGAAGATTAGGCAAAAAAAAATTAGAAAATCCCAATATCAGTTTATTCTAAATTCTTTTTCATTTTTTAGTAAATTTTTATTCTTTGCAAATTTCGTTGAAAAATTCAAAATGAGCCTAATTAATCCTGAAACAATTATAGGCCTCAAAAAAGACTTACAAAATTACAGTATAGAAGTTTGTGTAAAAAAGATTTTTGGTAAATTTTGCACAAATCAACAATTTCCACAGTAGGATGTAAATTTTTTGGTGCAGCTTCAATGAATGATGGATTAATGTTTAATGAATCATTGAAATCAGTTGGAATATGTTTAGTGAAATTTTGAATTACGTTCCTTCCACACCAATAAGATCGCTGCAATGGATAGTCGAAATTTTATTTTATAAAGCTAATTTTAATTTATTTTTAATTCATTGATAATGAATAACAAAATTAGAATGTATAAAATGCTATTAATTATTAATTATTTAACTATTAGTTAATTATATTAATTATTTAACTATTAATTATATTAATTAATTATTTAGTTAATCATTTATTATATTAATTGATTAGCTATTAATCATTTAACTATTAACTATATTAATTTGTATTTTAGGATAAAGTAAACTTTGAAAGGTGATGAATTCACATATATCTATTATCAGTAAATAGTTTTATTAATAGATAAAATAACAATTATGATTATAAAGTGATTAATTTTGTACTTCAATTGAATTTTCACTCAAATAATAAAGTAAAGGTAAAACAAGATTCACTTGCAAGAAGAAATATGGTTTCTGTGGTACTGCATCAAATCCAGGACTCACTGCTTCGACATACCAGGTTATGATAGCAAGAATAATGGCATCAATGATAAGCATCATGAAGAAGTGACCTATTGTTAGATGTTCATCTGGTGTTGCATTTACAAATAACTGAGACCAAGACACTCCAGTGCCTAAAATAGTAAAGAAACTGTGAAAATTAAAAGTAAGAATTCTGAAACGCAAAATATTCCGGAGTGAATTCCTCGTAGGGAAATTAACATTGCATCATAAGTGCAACTTATGAACTGATATATATTAACTTTAAAGAAAGAATTAACTTTAACATTTGAATTTATATCTTTAGAATTTAATTTCATAAAGTGATTTATATTGAGGATATATCGTATCGTTATGTTATAGCTTTTTATAACAAATAGAATAATTAAGCTAGTAGTAACCTTTCAACAGATTACTGCGCTTGCAATTAAAAGTATAAAAAATAATTTTGTTTTGATGCAGAAGGTAAAAAACTTTTTTAAAAATGTAATATAATACTTTTAAATTACACAATTCATTATTGAAGCGAAATCTGATTTTCATAGAATTCATAAATCTAGACGATATCTGGATGTTAGAGAATTTTGAAAGTCTCTCCAACCTAATAAATGGTAATAAAAGTTAGCAGCAAGTAGCAAAATAATTAGATTAATTAACTTAATGAGTAATTTATCGTAGAGAATTTATTGAAAAACCAACCAAGTGTTTCATATCGACACATGAAACCTAATGCATACGTGAGAGCAATATTAGGATTTAGTGAGTTCAACAAACGAATTGATGGTGAAAAAGGTGAAATTAAATCTTTAACATTAAAGAGTAGATGCCAGCCATATAATACAACCCATACGAACGGCATAACTTGCATTGCAGCAGCACCTGATTATCAAACAATAAATTGTTCAGAATGAATTAAATTCGAATAAATTTAAAATGACATTTAAGTTTAAATTTGAAAATAACTTTGAAATTTTTGATGAAATATTTGTAGAAAAGGGATGGAAAAATTATGATATTATAATTTACAAAATACTATTTCTAAAAAAAAAACAATTTTAAAAATGTCGAAATTTTTTCCCAAATTTTACTATCTTTTGAAAATTCATAATTTTTCAATGTTTTTGTTTTAGGAGAGCAGGAAAATTGATTTACCTGAATGAAGGAAAGCTGAAACAGTAAACGCCACATATATCACGTTAAATGAATAGAGGATGAATAAAACGAATGCTATGGTTGGATTACTTTTTGGTGTGATAACGTAATAAAGTGCAGATAAAATAATCACATTTACTAATAGTTTGATAATATTACTTATGAGATAAGAAAGCCATAAGATCCATTGTGATAAGCCCATTACTTTCATATACGACTATAAAATTAATTAATTTTTTCAAAAAAGATAAAAAGCTTCAATAATTTTCAAAAGCTTCAATCTACTGATATCTTTAATTCAATAAATATAATAACTTCAATATATTTAGCTAAACTTCTTGAAATTAGATTAATTATTAATATTATAAAATTTTTGATTTCATATGAAAGATCATCATCACACGGAAGATATTTCAATGTTTACTTAATTATTTAACACTTATTCATATTTACTTTAATTTGACAATAAAATATTGATGTGAAATTTTCTGCAAATAATTAAAGTTAATTTAGTTTTAAATAAACCTTCATTTGAGTTTCTTTTTCGGTTACAATTGTTCGTGTGATATAAACAACATTAATTAAGAAAGAAAATGCAATAACGGTAGTTAAGAAATATATGCCAAGTTCGATGATAATATTTTTGTAAGGCGGATATGGAAAACGTTGAAGCTAAAAAAAGAGCAAACAATTAGGTGATAAATTAGCAATGGGCCTTATTGCATTCTCAACAATTATTTTAAATGAAATATATTCTAATACTAATTGTTAATTATTATTTGGTAGAAGTTTGGAAATCAATGAAACATTTAAAAATTCAAAGGTAAGATGAAATGCTAAATTTCTTTTTTCCATGAATCTATGATTTCGTAACATTAGAAATTTTCATCACAATATATCTTAAAATGTAAATTAATTATGCTAATTCAATTATTAAATCTAATTGAAGATTTAATAAGGTACCATTAAGACTGGATCACTGGTTGTTGTATTTAATAAATATTGCTGTATTGCAACATCAATTGCTTTCTGCAATGTTAAAAAACCTTCTTGCCAATAACCTACAAAAATTCACTTTATCATTCTAACAAATATTTTAAATTAATTAATAATATTTATGATAATATTTGTAATAATTTTCATATGTATGTAAACTTCTTTTACACATAATTTTTATAAAATATACTTACTTTAATAAATGTGCAATTCAATTTATTAAGTGTAAGAAGTAATTATTTATAATAATTTGTAGTATAATTCATCACTTTCTAACGCTTAATTATTAACAATAATTATTTTACAATAATTTATATTATATTATTAAGGATTAATTACCAGGATTGCCACCACTTGGATTAAATCTATGCAGTGGTCCAATATGAATTGGTATAGCAAATTTAATTGCTGTATTCCATGGTAATAAAGTACTTAGTATTGGATAATAGCGACGTTTCGTATTTGTTAATCGAATTGAATAACTAATAGTATCAGTTGCATTGACAGAATTAGCAAATTGTTCATCGAAAACAATTCCACCTGTAGATAGTATAAGTTGAATGTCTTATATACATTTATTATTATTAAGGATTAATTAGCAGGGTGCTTAACAGTGATATTCTTACAGATGTTAATTTAAATCTATTTCAAATAAAATACATTTGATCAATAAGAATTCTGACGAAGTTTTTTGTATGTAAGATTTGTGATGAACTAACTTATTCTAAGATAATTTCAAATGTAAAAATTAACAAATAAACCTTAGCAATGGAAAAAAGTTTACTTATAAAAAATTAAAAGAATATGTTGGATATGGAAGGAAATGATTTTATATGTTAATTAAAGGTATGGAAAAATTTTTAATAGTATTCAATAAAATGAAAAGTAGAAATAAGTGTTAGAGAGAAGATAATATAATGATAATACCATACCAATGATAGGATTGCTGCATCGTTGTTTCGACATTGAACTCACAATATATTTCACTAATTCATTTTCATTTTCTTTGGCTATAAATTTACAACTGAATTATTACTTGTTAAGGGAAGTATGATTAATCTAAAAGTTTAAATATCAAATTTTATTAGCAAAGAAGAAGAGAAGGAGAAAAATTAATTGAATAAATGTAATTAAATGTATAATAATAATTTCAGTTCATAGATCACATTCTTCGTTACTATTCAAATGCATTATACCTGTTATAGGTTAATTCTTTTACGGCTTTTTTTAAGGTTCAGTTTTAAATCGTTTCATTTAATTTGCTCATTAAGATGTCTGTTAATAGAGTAAACTGTCTAAACCTAATCAATCTTTTGAATATATTTTAAGTCTTCTAAAATATATTTTATTATTAATTATATATTATTTTAAATTTCTCTATCATAATGAAATATTCAAAATTGATTTGTTTGATGAAATTCTATTTTAATAATTAAAAGTTACGTGTAAGTTTTGTTGTAGATGACAGTTTAAATATCTTCGACGTTGTTGTATTTTCATCAAAATTTTTTATGAAGTCCGTTATTCGCTCGAATAATATATCATTTTTTAAATTGTCGAATATATCCGAAGTGGTATATCGTTCCTGCATTAGTAATTCAATTTAGCAATGTTATAAAATCAACAAAAAAGTAAAATTATCTTATCATCAAATATAATTAATTCTTACAAGTAATAGCAAAAAGAATCAATCATTCATGGAAATATTTTCAATATATCAATCGATAGAGTTGCTTACTAATATAATTATGCAAAAAAGAATAATTCAAACTTGAATAATTTTCATAATTTCATCAATAGCAGGATTAGTTGGAGTGTAAACAATTTCTAAGTCAATATTTGCAATAATATTGCTATTATTTGATTGTCTGGTAACATTCAGAAATGTGCAATCATTAGTAAATTTTTCACCGCTTATTATATAACGGGTGTCAACAATAGTATCCTGAAAAGTACGCAAAAATCAAAAGAGAAAAATTATAACTTTTGAAAAGTTTGAACTTTTTGATAATTTTAAATCATATTAAACATAAAAGTATCATTTTTGAAGATTAAATTCAAATTATATTTTGTAATTTTTGTAATTAAACTTACGACAAATATTTTCGAAAGATCTGGTGGCATAATCAAATCAATGATTGATCCTTGAATTATCCATGGCTTATATGTTGTTCGTGGATATGAAAGTTCATATTTATGTCGTAGCTGGAAATATTTCATGAATTATTTACAATAACGAATGAATCATCAACATCATCATCATCATCATCATCATCATCATCATCATCATCATCATCATAATTCCTAATTATAATTGTATTTTGTACTTGTTTTACAAATAATACAAATATCTGAGAATTGGCATTTAAAATTGCAGACAATTTCTAAATTTATAAAAAAGCGAAAATTGAAATTAATGAAAATTTAATTTATAGCTTATAAAGAAGTAGTAAAACTAACCGTAATCATTAAGCCAAATGCGGTACCAATTAGTAAGAGTGGAACGATAAATTCTAATGCAGTAAATATGGGAGAGCGAATTTGTTGCAGCAAATTCTTCCATAATAATAATTTTAATTGGGACATTCGTTCATTATGCTTTTTTGGCGTCATTTATTTGATTGATCCAATTAGATTGATGGAAAATTTTAAATTTCCCTTAAAAAAGAATATGCGAAATATTTGTTATAAATTTTGAGTTCTTCACAAAGTATGAAAATTCAAAAAGAATCATTCAAAACAATCATTTCCAAATTTTCTTTTCTCTTATTTTTCCTTCTCTTCATTTTTTTTTGAAGCAAATTTAATTTTAATTTTAATAATTAAACAATTAAAGACAATTAAAGAATTATTGTATTTGTTTTAAACTATCAATTAAAAATTAAAATTTGATTCAAATATGTTTAGGAATAATTTATTTAAGAAATAACTTTTATTAATTTAAAAAAAATACCAATCCTAATTAAGCTAAAAATAATTTGCTTTATTTGAAATTAGCCAAATAAGATTTAAAGAATGATAGTAACTGACCGATTCGATAGTATTTAATTATTAAAATACCTGTAAAATAGATTTTTGTACAAACAAAGAAAAAGAGGAGGAAAGAAATGGAAGTGAACAGTTGTTTACTTTCATTAGTACTTCTGATCATTCAATAACAATAATAATTACTATTATTGACACGCAATAAATATATTCCATAAAATTTTATCAGTTTATAAAAAATTATCTGATAAAAATTTTTCCCTTTGAAATGATTAAAAAGAAGGAAGAGATAACAAATTAGCTTCCATTTGTAAATAAATAATAATCCATAAAATTTGAATAGTACCAGCAAAATGATTAGTACCTTACCGTATTTATTATCTTCACTGGCAATAAAAAATAAATATTATTAAACATTCTTTAATATAAATTGGATTATAAATTAAATTAGTAATTAAAGCATAGAAAACTTCAGGATAATTTACTGTGTTTATATTAGAATGTATTATGAAAATATAAAGTATATGTATATATATGTGTGAAAATTAAATTTATAAATAAAATATTTTAATGCTAATACTTGCTATTTCAAGTTAAAATAAAAAACAAACAATTATTAAACAATTATTAATATATAATAAAAATAATTCATTGAATGGTGACAATACGTTAAGTATAAAATTAACATCCACAATTTGCAATCTACCATTAAATCATAATTGTTAAACAGTAATAATATAATATGCAAATTTAGTGTGAAACAATTTCAATTCATAATTAAGCATTTTTGAAGTTAGAAATTCAAACATGCAATTTATGAATATTTTGTTCAGTTTTTCTTTTGAAGTATATTGGATGAGATAATTGTAACAGTTGAGATTTTGTGTTTGCAATCTGATATACATGATATTATGTATTATTGCAATAATACTCATCCGTGTGACTGGTTCGGAAATCGGAAAGGAATTAAATAAATTTTATGAATTTTTTTGTTTTAAGGATTTACGATACTCTCCTGAATTCATTAATACTCAAGACTGTTAGCAATGAACTTTCACACTTAATAAACTATTGAAATTAAATAAAGAAAAAAACACTTTATGTTCAACCATTTTAATGGCACTTGCATATTTCAGCATATTACAAAACTAAATAATGTCACAATAATCCTATCCGTAACTCTAGAAAGTATCCCAAAAATTAGCACTTGCGAAATTTTCGCTTCTATTGTAGCAACCAGTCATAATCATTAAATGATAATTCCACTACGAGAAGTATCAATCAATTCAATAGGTCTGAATAATTGATAAAAAATATTTATCAATTATTCGGATTGATAAATTATAAAAAATATTGATAAATTATGAAAATATAGATTGATAAATTATAAAAAAATATTGATAAAAAGATAAATATTTAAGGATGATATATGAATAATTCTCGAGTTACCTGTTACATTATCACCTGTTTGATAATTCAATCTTTTTTTCCCATCTTAGATAATTGAGGACTATGCAGAAACAAGGAACGACAATTTATTGCTGAAGTATTCGACATGATTCGACATATATTCGACATTGGAAATGATTCATAATAATTCATTCGTAAAATATTATGAAAATTGCCATCAAAAATTATCAGTTAGGAATAGATCGGCGAAAAGATTACTGTCCAAACAATCGCATTGATTAACAAATAAAACGATAACAAAACAAATTATGCATTTTTCCCAATTTCAATTTCAATTTCAATGGATTATTGCTCTTTGAGATATTTTCATACAATAAAAATTATGTTTGCTTTTAAGTTTTCAATCAAATCTCACATAGTTTAACAAAAATTCCAAGCTAATTTACAAAAATTTCCTGTTAACCTTTGGCCTTATGTAGAAGAGAAGAGACATTATGCTATTATGAGAGGTAGGAAGTAATGGAAGACAAAACATGGCATCATTATGACAGAGAAGACAACAATATCATCATGACAAATACTGCTAAAGTTTCTGAAATAATATCGGATTAGTTCATGTAATGATATTAACTAGTGATTTGAGGTGAGCAGTATAGATTATGAATAGGTATTAGCGAAGGATGTACGAGGCAATGTAGAATAGAAGTTGAAAAGATAAAGTGTTGAGGATAATGAGGTTTATCTTATTTTATAGATAATTAAGAGACTGATAAAACTGGGTGTAGAGTGGAATGTTCGTACAGCTCATATTAATCTCATCATATTTACCTGTAAAGTAGGAGAGTTGCAGTATATGAACCATCGAGTGACCTTCACATTGTATTGTGCGTGTGTGCATGAATGAATGATTGTAGCCATGATTGTCCACGTAGTGATTAATTTTTGATAACATAGACTGGTAATTTCGTACTATCATTATCACAACTAAAAGAAACGAACGATTACGTTATGTTTTTAGATTAATTTGGAATAAAGCATTAAGGTACAAAAACCCAACGATTGATTCACTGATATTTTAAGCTGTTCAGTTACAAAAATATTGATTCAACGAGAAAATTTTCGGAATTTCATTGAAATGCTAACTTTAATTAATTGTCTTCTTTTTCAGAAATAACCGTTTTTACTATATTACTACAGTGAATGTTTTCCTGTTTAATTTTGGCTATAATGTATCTGAATTCAAAGCGTTAATTCAGGAAGATTATTAGTACAGAAAGTTTAATGTATCTGAAGACTTAAAGCGCTGATTCAGGTGGATTAATAGTAAAGAAAGCTAAATATCTAGTTAAGGTAAAGCTTAACTTCAAATTCGATCGATGGTAAAATTGTAATATAGTAAAATTGCCATTTTTTTTAAAAAAGTCAGAACTAATCAAAATCCATATTTCAGTAAAATTCCTAATTCTCCTTTGTTGAATCAATATTTCTTGTGATTTAACAGCTTAAAATATCGATGGATCATTGAATCTTCCAGTGTAAGATGAACCTGATATGATATAGCAGCTAGGAAAGAATCATGTTATACAGGTAAATGATAAAATGAGCGCATATGGACATGTGGCTGGCTTACCGATTGAATGTTTAAGCATCGCCGTAGAGCTTCATAAAGAGCAACTTGTAGATGAAAATGGACAACAGGTCAGTCATCATATTGTTCACGTTCCTCTTTGTTCAATTATGTAAGTGGTCATTACTCTAATGACACGGTTAATTTTTCTTTCTTCATTAATTTGATGAATTGAGGTAATTCACATAATTTAGCACATTTCTTTTTTTATTTTTCTTGTAAATTAAACAATTGAGATTTATATCAAATTAAATCAAAAATTAGTGGTATCTTTAAATCTTATAGCCCCAAACAACTTATGATTCTTATTCTAGGTCCTTCGTGTAGGTTTCAAAATTGGTGGTGGTATCGACCAGGACCCAAGCCGAGCACATTATCCATATCCAGACAGCGTAAGTTTCTAAGAACTTCCGCGATCTTTAACATTTGCTGTTATTACAGTTTGATGTAATTGTACATCTTTTTTGATTTAAAATCGTATATTGCGAAAGTTTGTTTCTTTGCAGGGAATTTATATCACGCAAATTGAATCTGATTCACCAGCAGAACGTGCTGGACTTCGGCAACACGACAAAATACTTAGGGTAAGCATTTTCCAATATACAGTAGAGAACTCTCGACATTAGGATCAAGTAAAATTCCTGTTATGGCAAACTGTACACTCTAAGTGAAACTTCATTTTACGATACCTCTAACATATCCGAATTCTTAAAAAAATCTCATTATTTATTGAATATTATTCATCTGAAAACTGACTGACATCTATTCTTGGTTGTTGTTCATTTCATCTGTATGAATTCACCATGTATTTTAGGTAAACGGTAACGACTTCACCATGGTAACTCACGAAAAGGCTGTGAAATATATCAAGAAATATCCAGTGCTTCATATGCTTGTTGCTAGAAAAGATGTTTCTGGTTGAATTTCAGAATGCTAATTCTTCAGTTCGAATTTACGACTCTTGATATGTTTATCATGTTTCATCTTTACTTTAATCCTCCTCCTCTAAAATTCCATTCCCTTCATCGACAGCTAAAAATATACGTATTAAAAACATTGATTGAACGAATGCAAAAGAGCAATTGAGATATAAAGAAAAGAATTAAGTGATGAAGAAATAATCACTATTGTTTCAAAAAGCAGAAAACAGCTTTATTCATGGATTAAGGCTTTAAAAAAAATAAAAAACATTAGGAGTTAGATTATGGCATTAAAACATTCCAATTATTGGAACGCTTTAGTGACACTCTCTCACTCCTAGTCTATGCAGAAATGCTTCGCTTTCTCTATATACTAACATTTCTCCAAATTTCTTTCTTTCATTCGTTTAAGTGAATTAATTACATTTCTCCACTAGCTATCTCTCTAAATTTTATACAACAGTACGGGAAATGCGACGCTAGTGAAATCGCTGAGGAACTCATGCAAATATCCTAATCGGTCTTACTAGATAATTATCAAAAACCTATTATTTGCGTGCCTTTTGCAATACTATGGTGGCATAACAATTTTTTACTACATATCATGAACATTGCACTTTCTTTCATCAATAATTCCTAAAATCTGTATAAAAGTCATGAATATCCGGTAAATTTAGTTCCTTTTTGCAGTGTACCGTATCCCAGATTGGTTTCGAGAACGGATTTACAAAAACAACCATTGCCGTTAGGAAAAAAAAGATAGTACCAAACAATACAAGTGACACGATCATAAGTATTCGCTCCCAATACAGGACCTGAATGAAAAAAAAATTAGCGGTAATATGTTGTATTGCATTTGATTAGAATACAATCTTAAGAGCAGAAGAGGGAATGGGGTAAATTGTTTGTTTTTGTGTAGAACTGATTTTCTAAATGTTGTACCCTCTATCTTCCTATAACTGCCTTAACAAGTCGAGGCTACATCAAATTAAAAGCATAAATTTTAAAAATATGAAGAAGGAAACATATTACTGTTGTGGACATTAAATCAGAATATAGTCACCTGTAATATGAAATAAGTTTGCCTTGTTTGTAAATATTCTCTTCACAATATGTTACTTACCTTAAGATTATGCAAAATAACAACACCCATAAGCAAACCAGTAACAGCGCCTGCAATGTGAGCAGTGTACGATATACGATCACATTCGTCCACTTGAAAACGACGATAAACAGTTGATGCTGTGTCGGTAAAAATGTATGCAGAAATGATAAATAATCTAACCAATCGAAACGGCATCTCGGTCCAATTCTGTAATCAAATTAACTCAGATGCACAGAAGCTAGTAATATCAGCCTTGTGTTTGCAACTCTCGCTTTCCTTTAAAAAAGAGAAAAACTTTATAATATTTCTTCAATCAGAAATTGAAAAAAAACAAGGAAGAAGAGGACTTACAACTATAAGATTTGAAAGATGAGCACTCATTAAGGCATAAACACCAGCAGAACAACCAATCAAATACACTGATGGATCAAGTACGTACTGCAGCAGTGCCCCTATATTATTGGAATTATTCTAATAAAAATACTGATCACGGGCAATAGCGTGAACTGTAGGATGTATTTAAAAGAAACTACGGAAAGAAAAAAAGACCATAAGATTCATTCATTGGTTGTAAAATCAAATTATTATCGATGCCAAATTTTTAAAATGCCAAGAACAATTGAATTAAACATAACGCTCCAAAGACTGCATATGCACTGTTGGGTATACAATCAAATAAACTGTAGAGAATAGATCATACTAAATGAAGAGCTTCACCTAGGCAAACGGCCATTAGATAGATAATTGCTATACGCCACATTTTATGGACCAGCTCCAATGGTATGCCAATCACTATTTGAAAAATAATATTGGGCAGTAGGTGAAGAATTCTGAAATATGATTTAAATTTGTATGGATATTAGAATTCGATGACTGAATAAGTCTAAACTTCGGAGTTGTTATTTTTCAGCATTTAGATTTGCACTACTAAAATGAACCCCTGATGCACAAATTGGTAGCTGAAGAATCGCCAAGCCTGATAACGAAGAGATGGTGCAAATAAAAATGGTCCGATTTTTCCATCAATCCAACAACCAGCGCAATAAGTAAACAGATCATCTGATCGTCCATACATATAATATATAAAAGTAGCTATCTATAATTTGTATATAACAGAAATGTAACTTTTGCATGAAATATTTTACAAAGTAGCAACCTAACTAATTATTTTTTTGAATATATAATATCTTTCAAAACTTCACAAGTCGCATTTCATGCAATTTTTTTAATCGTGACCTGAATCACTAAAATAGCAAAATTTGACAACTGCTGGCTTGAAAAATCTAACAACCTATTTTCTTGTCAATGGTAATAGCAAAGAATCCCATTTAAATTATTCACTCAGTTGTCTTTTCAACGATAAGATTAAATTACCTGTAGTAATGAGATACTTAAAACAAATACAGGTGGAGGTAGACAATTATATTCATCAATATATGTGTGAACAGTCGGTCGATCGGTTTTGGCGATTACTGTATCAGCCACCGAATACATCAATACTTTCAGTTTTTTCTTTTGTGCATCTGCTGATGTTACCTGTTTTTGCAGCTAATATGGGTTACATTATTCAAAATTGATGAAATTTTAAAACACATCATCAGGATTTGATAATAAAACTGAATTTAAAATGGCCCTGAAGAATGAACTATAGATTTAGAATTCAAGGTTTACCTGAAGCGTAATATAAGAAAGTACATACCAATTGTGAGAATTCGTTGAAATCAAGAACATTATCGCGGTTTCTGTCAGCTTCCTTTAGAAGTAGGTGAATTTGTCTTCCGGTTAATTCAATCTAAAGAGCGAATAATAGTGATTTCATCTGAGTGTTTTCACACTTTCCTTAGAAAGACAAAAGATCCATTTCACTATATTGAATAGCATATAACAATAGACTCACTTGTTTCCTGTTAAAGTTATCGTTTACCAAATGATGAATCTCGTTCAGTGATATTATTCCATCACCATCAGTGTCCAGCTGTAACAAGTAAACAGATTCTCCATTTACCTGTCCTTCAGTTCTTATTAATGATTTGAAGAAATAATTTTACGATGGAAAGAAAATCTTTCCACATAGAAATTTTTTTTCGTAAAGTTAACGAGCATTCCAGATTCCATTTTGAAAATTGAAGAGATTTCTCCGTTTTAGAAAGTGTGAAGAGATATCTCCCAGCTTCAAAAGTGGATTAGAAACTCTTTATGAAATTTACTTCATTTTCACTAAAAATTCTCATTAAAATAATTGATGGAAAACTAATATCCAAAGAAGACAACGAACCTTATCAAATTCTTGAGCAATGATTTCCTGTGCTGATCGTTTACTGGTCATTTCGATATGACATACAGAGATGTTAATAAAAGTAATAACAATAATAATGACAATAGTAACAATAACAGTAATGCCGATAGTAATAAATAATAATACTACCACTACTACTACTAACACATAATAATAATAATAATGATAGCAAATAAAACAGTGGGCAGAAGTCGAAGAACGACAGAGAAAGCAGCTTTCTTCCTTCTTTTGATGTATTTCTTTGGCTAGTAATGACAAGAGTTAATTTTATCAACCAAGAAAAATGCACACCCATACACAGAGAGAGAAAGAGAAATAACTCTAGCCATATATACACTCTTACGCGCACTTAGCTTCATGCTTCCTCCAATATATTCATCAATCTATCGCTTTTGCAGGATTTAAAAAGCATTAACCATTCATTTTATCTAGAGCAATATGTGTGCTTCATATCACTACGTTATCATTTCATCATCCCCGCTCTTTTTTCCATGAAATCAGTGAGTAATAAACAAATTTATCAATTCATCATAATGCCCTTTTCACTCTTTTCACCACTTCCCTGAACAACTGCAATGATATATAATCAGTAAGTGATAATCATGATGCAAATATTACGTGAACGAGTACAAATATTACGTGAAACGAACAAACCGATGCAAATATTACGTGAAACGAACAGACTGTCTTTTTAATAATATTTTACCTTACTGATAATAATAGACGAATGTTAAATTTTAAGAGTATTCGATTAAATTTCAAATTACGAAAGAATATTAAAATAATGCACTGAAGTCTCAGATCAAAGAGCTATAATCAAACTAATGTATGGTATCCGATTAACGTAAAATAGAATTGTCACATAACGAAAATTACTATTCATATGAAAATTAACTTTTAGAATACAACCGAGCACAGCCATTTATTGACTCATTGATCACAACAACTAATCCCTTGAGCGAAATATTGGTGATTCTGATGATAAATCTGATAGCTACCAGAGTTCCTGGTACTTTTATTTATTATTCGATACTAAAATTCGTTTCCAACATCACATATGGAGTCTTTAAAAAATTTTCCCGCCTTATTGCAACACTGTTACCATTCTTACCACTCTCTTCCTTTCCTCTCTAATCACTTCATGAGATGGATTTTGCATTCGCAATCGCTTCTTTATTCACACAGTTAACGTCGCATATCCATCCATGACCCTTGACTCTTTCAGGTAGTGCTCTAATGGAGCTCTTAATATCCCCGGTATATGTCGCGATATCCCCAATATATGTCCTCATTTCTCTATATCCTCCCCATCCTTTTCTTTTCCTCTCATTTCCTCACCCCTTTGGTACCACATTTTGGTACTTTTCCGCTGTAACACGTTGGGAAGCACGCACATATTGATAACTTTAAGTTTGCCTGAACGTCAAGTGATCAGGTGGCTCTGCGCCATATGTAGGCATTTCGTGGCATTACGTATTGCATCACATGGCAATGCAGTAGATTTCACGCGTAACAGTAGACTATGATTTTGTGTGGCGTTACATAGTGATAAATCCATACTGTTACTACAATAAAGGTTTCGTAATGTTATTCCTTTCTGATACCACTCATTTTCGGATAGCCGCTAAATTTCATTATGATGTGTCCATAAAATCTTTAACACAGTGATTTTCGCTTGCAGAATCTTTTTGTATCATGTCTACTGAGTCTTTATATGCTGCAGTAAACGAGGTTTTAAAGAAGCTTGTGGCAGAAGCGATAGCGGCGGAGAAGTGTATAAAGATTGTTCACAGGACGACAAAGAAAAAGGTTTTTTTTTAAATACCTTGACCAATACTGAGGATGAACTTTGGCACCAAGTCGCCATTTTTTTGTAATATAAATCTCTATAAATCTTAACCTTATTATTTTATAATGAAGGATGAAATGTAATGAGTTTCATCCTCATAGTACACTTTGGATTCCTAATTATTGAGAAATTTCCCTCTCCTTTTGTCCGCAACGATGAGTAGAATACTGAGGTATAGTATCAGCACTGCTTACTGCACATAATATATTTCTGGATTGATTCGCCCTCATCGGCTGCATTCGTTATCTTCTTTAATTCACCATGTCAAAAATATCCCATTTCATTCTATCTTAATATTTGATTATCTTGGGTGATCGCAGATTGCCCCAGACAGAATGGAAGAAATTCTGACGATTGCAAAAGGTGAACTGCAGGAATCGGTGTTGAATGCTGTCAGTCAGGTAATCCACAATGATGAGGTAAGCTAATGCGATAAAATTACTTTTCAAAATATTAGTAGTGCCTTCTCATATTCAGAATAAGATCTGTTAGCACTGTAGCTTAAGCTTCTAAATTCATGACCCTATTTATTTGTTACTTATATTTCATTTCTTATTTGTTATTTATATTGCGATTTTGAATTATGTTACGGATCTTAATTGTAATTTTATATCTAAATTACATGTGTTGTATAGGTACTTGAAGGAATGGTCAAGCTAAAAAATCTTATTGAGGGATCATCGAAAGAAGTCACAGGTATTTCTACACATATTATCAATAATCACAAGATATGGGATTATGACTGTGCGGTGAATGCTTTTTAAGACCTATCTATGCTTTGCAATATATGCTATCAAAGCATTGTTTTAGGTGCGTGCTCATTAAGACGTTTACTTAATTTTAACTGGATACAGCCTATTTTAATTGTAGATTCTTTTGTATATCTTCTTAGTTTTTCTCCGGTTTATTCACGTTATCATTTGATATATACGATTAATTAGCTGAAAGATGGTACATCTTCTCAATTTTAGGATGGCGTCCAAGCGGTATCCCATCGGATGACATTGCTGGTCATTTGCAACCAGTTATGTTTAACATTGAGGAAAATTTAATCCGCTTGAGATTTAGACTAGAAGCTGAAATTGAGGCAAGCAATATTTTATTTGTTGTTACTCTTGTCTTTGAACGAGGAAACGTTGATCTCTGGGGACTGCAAAAGAATTTGATATTTTCCAGAATCAACTATCCGTCTCTGGAAATTGTTGTGCGCTCTTTTTATGATTCATACGAAGTGAAAGAAAATATGGCAACTAATGTAAATTAATAGTGATATTTTTGGATCTAAGTAACTATCATTTTTCAGAAGAAACGAAATTTTTATAAGGAAACTGAGGACAAAGCTCAGGCAATGATGCGAGAAGCAGCGCTTTCTAATAACATCGTTCGCCCATTACCATAAATCAGTTTACATACAATTTATAATTCGTCATTCTCTTTACATCTGTATTTCTTCCCAGATTTTGGCTCAGTTCCTTTACTGAGCTACTATACTAAGAGTGAATTGCGAAATATCCGATTTTCAATTACATTTCCCATTATTGTGCAAATATATCATTTAAGGATTTTGAGCAAATATCGTCCAATTTTTGTTAGAACTTCAACTGTGCGACTTACTTGAAATTGCTGAAAGATTCACGATTCTCCCAATTAACATAATTCTATTCACTCCCACTATATTCAAAATTGAATAAAATTTACGAACCTAGTTGAATAATCATATAGTGGGTTTTGTTTCACCAGTTTAATGAAAAAATTCGAACACATCTTCCCAAAAAATGTTATGTATGACTCGTTAGAAAATGATTGATATTTAGACCCTTGTCTATTCCCCAAGAAAACTTTAGTTCGTTGAAAGATTCCTAAAGAATGATCATTTCAACTATGTTGTAGATAGATATTATCTGTACTGCGTTTTACTTGTACTCCAGATTATTTACTGATCAAAAAAACCGTTAAAAAGCTATGCTTTAAGTTAAATTTGACGACTGTAAGACGGCAGAGCGATGGTAATTGTGATGAACTTTAATTCATAGCGGTAACTAACCACCTGACCGTTATAGTTGTCTCTTTATGAAAACACCGTTATTGGGCAGACCTTCTACAGATGCATAATACTCAAACTTATCGAAAAAAGATTTTCTCGCATGTGCTAATATTGCTGATTCAAATGGGGCAAACCAAGGTTTCTGGAGATCTAGTGCCGGAACGCTGGAGTATTTATAATTAAAAATTTTTGAATGTTTGCTTCTCGTACTTTTGGAAGTGCTTTCTTTTTACGAATCCATGCAGAAGGCAAAACAGAAAGAAAGTAGGAAGGCAAACAGTTTCAAAGTTATGATAGAAATTTGTAGCTTCAAAAATCAGTGATCTTTTGTTCTATTGCTGACATCAATCATCGATCTCGTTTCAATATTTGAATGTCTTCATGTAAACACGAATTTACATGTCAATGGAATTCACTTCCCATGTCACCATGATTGACCTCTACGACTTCCATTCTCGTCATCGCTCTCCCCATTCCTCCCTCTGCTCCAAAACTGAACAACCCATCCGTGGGACATTTCAACAACATTTGCTTATTTGATGCCAAAACTAATAATTTCCTTATGTTGAAAGTTTAACAAGTTGTAAACCTTTTCAAGCTATAAAACAGGCATAAAATTCGCGGGCGTAATGAATTAATCGAGTAATTTCACGTAATATGAAGTAACTAGATTAGGTGTTCAATACCGAGAAGCAATCTGCGTGAAAACGCGTTAGTGATGCAACACATATAAAAATATTTAGGAGATCAAGTCAAAGTCGACAACTGAATTAAAGAACTCACCAAAAATCATATGTCTGAAGCAAAACATTCATAACTGAACTAATATTTGAGATATACATTTTACAAGACAAAAGCGGATACATCATCTACAATGATTTATGTTCTTTTTGACAAACGTTATTACTTTTTTCACAAGAGCAATCAATCTTAATGCTACAAATGATATGTATAGTCTATTTACAAGCGATACAGTCTTTTGGTAAATAACTATAATGTGAAAAACTAGCATTTAGTTATAAAATATAATTCTTTCTTGACAATTTGCAGCTTCTGGATGTGGTGATAAAAATTTCAGAAAGTTCATAGGAAAATAATTTCTGACAAGGTGAAGTTTCAGATTTTTTCGAAGCTATGAAGTTAAAAGGGAAGGTGAAGTTTTCAACTTCCGAACCTTCCTTGAAAATTCATGATGGATTTACACTCGAAATCTCCTTAAAAGCGTGATTTTTCAAAGTAGAAAGTCAACATAAACGCACACTCACATACACCCTTATAAATAATAACCCTTATTTTCTCTGATAAAAAATGTTCTTTCTAGCTTAAATGTAAATTTTTCATTCAGAAAAAACAATGAAAGATTCAGGAAAAAAAACGTGATAAACTGAGACCTTCGTTTTTGTTCTCTTCATCTGTATAGAAACAAATATAGCAGTCACTCAATAAGCGCATTAAATCTGAATCACTTTCAACATCGTTCGGCAAATGTCCTTCCTGGTTAATACAGTCACGAACTCTACGCCAACCGGCATCGCTCAACCAATTTGACATCTTTTCACATAATTTCACCTAAGAAATATGTTCGAAATTCATAAAATCCCAAAAACACCACTCAATGTGCTCAAATTTTTAGTAGATGTCATTATCTTCGTCAAATTTCAAATCATATCTAAAAACCTACAAAAAGTTAATAATAAGAGTTTCAATTTCAATTTAATTCACCGTAATGAATGAAAGCATTTTTGGCGGATCTTTCTTCATCGATATTAACGCGATCGCTCGCCTAATATAACTGTACCACATTTACGATATCCACTTACTATAATCCACCCATTGGTTGAACTGTTGAAAAGAACAAACGAACCTGTGGAACATTATAGCCATCAGAAAAACCCACTCGATCGGCCATTGAATCGAAAAATACCCATTTATTAGCGTGAAGAGCGTGCACGAATGCCACATAATGAGAAGTTTCGATGCAAAGAACAGATGCAAGTTGGAGCTTCTTTTGTGGCACCTGCGTTCGCCGAGATAAAGATAAGGATGATGACGTCGAAAACGAATTATTGCTAGCGGATAGCTGCTGTGGTTGATGATCCAGGCCATTGTGGGTTTGTTCATAACATATACCACAATACGTTACCTAAAATAACAAGTAATGTAAAGACTTTTACTTTTTTAAAATAATGAATCCATAATCCACCAGAAACGAAAACCTTAAAAATCATTTCAAACAATATAAAAAATTCGAAAATGTGTAAAATGTATATGAATACAAAATTAAGACAAGAAAGTTTCTATTTCAGCGGAGATGTCAAAATCTTAATGCCTTTGCTGCAATAGGAACAAATGTCTCGATACTTTTCAAAAGTTCACCTCTCCAATGAAAACTTCTCTTGTCAGGAAACATTCAGGACACATCATATCGGCAAGTTTACCGCAATTTATGCAGGGTCGTTTACCTAAAAAACATTACTAAAGAATATCTTCATGAAAAGTTCAGAACAATACTTTTTGATTGGAAATAGACAAATTTTGATAATTCAATATCTGTAAAAATGAATAAATTCTCATAGTTGAAATATAGAGTAGAAAAACATTGACAGAGATCTTTCCAAAAGCAAAGTTAAAAAAAAGAATTCAAGAGAACGGTAATTCAATAGATCAATTCAAAAAAATTCATGTGAAATGTCGAAACAGCTTACCTTCATAAATAAGATGGGTAATATCCATTTCTTGAGGCGGAAATATTTTATCAAAAACTTTCTGCTGCCCATATCGTGGCAACTGAAGGATCAAAACTTTTGGTTCCTGAAACAAAAATTAATGTCTGAATTACAGTGAAAAACTATCGAATCACACAGCAATTTCCAAACAAAATCGACAAAATTTAGTGACTATTAGATTGTCATCAAAATCGCCGAGACGTTCAATCAATCGGAAATAATTATTACCGAGTAAATTAAACAGTCGCACTGCAAACTCCAAAAATGATTTATTATTATTACCTACTAGAAAGAAACTTACACATGCAAATTGAATATTAGATGCAAAGAGTGATCTTTCGACAAGTGTCTGCACACTGATAAGTCGACGCTGTTCTTCGCTCCATAGATCTTCTGTTATTAAGGGACATATATATGCCGGATTTGTTTTGTCATCTGTTGTATTTCTAAATGTTTATTTATTTCGGCATACTATAATTTAAAAGATATAAATTTTTAAAATAGTCTAAGCAAAATTATAGACGTGAAAACCACTAGAGATCAAAATAAGGAGGTTCCTTTGCAAATTTTTGTAGAAATGTTCACGTTACGAAAGTACCCATCTTAAAAAAAATAATCTGAACCTCTGATTGAACTTAATAGCCCATAATCTCCTTTATATTGCATCATTTTTATTTTACGAAAATGTGAAAGGTGTTACCTCATTATAAGAAACGGTTCAACCCGCAATACTGTACTGAACAGAGCATTCAGCAATTCTTCAGGGTCTTTTTCGTCAGTTGTTAAACCTCTCATTTTAGGTAACAGCACCTCCAGCAATCGCCGCAATTTTAACACGTGGTCAGCCCGGACAAAATGAAACCTGAGTCAATCCCAAATATATGACATTCTCGACTAGGATTTTAAATTAAGATATGTTTAAAATCCAGGATAAACAAAAAAACAATTTAAGAACAAACCTTCTCAATGGGTAAACAATTTCAGTTTTCAAGATATCAGTGACTTCTGTATGGACCGAATCTGCCTTAGTTTCACATCTGCTTTCCAGTATACTAAACAGATTTATAAATGTTGAAAAGTTCAATTTCTTTTAGAAAAGAAAGTATTAAAAAAAACGGAAAAAAACAGCTGTATGTTAGAAGAGGCAAAAATTTTCAGTTCAAAGTGTTCTGCAGTTAAGAAGGAAACTACTACATCCGAAGGCCATTGTAAGTGATGCAAAGTTTTTCGTTTCTTGAATTTACATGGATCAGCATTGCAATTGTGAATAACATAGACAAATACCTCAAATCACACTGTGCATATATTTCTCTAATATTATTCATAATTTATACTCCAAATTACCTATCAAATGCTGAACACTGCGAAAACATGGCATAAAGAGTCGTATCGAGATAGCAACTGTTCCGAAAACCTTGGATTCCTTTCATACGGCCAAGCAAATTTTCGATATTTTTCACGGGTAAACATGGTCGGACTTCAATACCGCTATCCAAACTTCCGAAATTTGATGACACCACTAAGCAAAAAAAAATCTGAATTTTAAATCTTCCGGATAACTCATTTCATGAAGCTTTTTATTAATAAAATAATGAAATTTTATATATAATGTTTACTTGTTTTTGTTTCATGGTTATTGTTGCCTTCAGGAGTATCAGATAAAGCAAAACGATTATCAGATCGAAGTACACAATACGGCACCAATGCAATTGAATCTGGACTAGCATTTGCAAAAATACCAGCTTTATAAGCATCCTCAAGTTGTATTTTATTTATCGTTCGCCAGTCATACGGCAAGTCTCCTTCCTTCAAGAGAAAAAACTAGCATATTTTCATGATAAGCAAAATAATGGGAATATTTCAGCGCAATATGAATATAAAAAAATGGTAATTACAGCTGTTAGAAATCTAACCCTTAAAAACTCAGTTATACAATTTCGACTTATATATATATCAGTTGTACTAATTTGAACTTGTACTAATTTTGCTCACAATTTCAACAGCAACTAATCGGTTGCTTTGAATTAACTCATTATTATCGATCCATTTAACAACACCGTAGCGCAGTTCGTTTCGATAAAATACTTCAACGCATGATCCTAGAAAAATCAAGATACTAAATTTCAACATAGAGAACTGTACCAATTCAACATTAAGTATTCAGAAAAAAGAAAGAGAATCGAAAAAAAAGTTCTCCACGATTGTATAAAAGCTGACATGAGTAAATATAGTCATTCTAAGCTTGCCTTCCCGGACTTTTCTATTATTATTTTGAAAAGCAGTAAACTAGGTAGGTCTTCGCCAGAATCCATTGTGACAATAATTTCGAGAGTTTAAAAATAACCGCATATGAAATAACAGACTGATCTGAACTAATCGATATGCATACTTTTTTTAAAAGTATCTGCAAAATGCACTTAACTTGACATCTCATTATATTACATTTATAAATAAATCCAGAAAGGAAGAAAACAGAATTTAGCTTAAATAATCTCACCTACAGTAAATTGCGGAAACTTGGATA